ATAGGGCTTTTAGGATGTTAATAAACTTCTCAGGCACACCCTTCTTCAATCGACAATCCCAGAGAACAGCCCTGTCTAACGAATCGAAGGCAGCCCTGATGTCAAGAAACACTACGATTGTTGGCCTGTGATAAGTATGGCGGTGTTCTAACATTTGGCGGAGGGTGAAGATATGATCAATACATCCTCGACCAGAACGAAACCCAGCCTGCTCCTCGCGAGTCAATCTTTCTCGGGTTTTGAACAACCTACGAAGTATGACGGAAGCCAATAGCTTGGACGCAATCGGAAGTAGACTTATCTCCCGATAGTTGTTACAGGAACGGCGTAAACCCTTTGTAAAGATAGGGACAACCATCGACTCATTCCATGACGTTGGTACACTCTCTAGCTCCCAAACCTTTGTAAACAACGTCGTCAATTCCTTAGTCAGAAAGTCACCACCATCTTTAAAAAGAGCCGGAGGTAAGTCATTTGGGCCAGGTGATTTGTAGCGCTTCAAGAGTTGGAGTTCCTTGCGGACTTCCTCCTCATTTGGTGGATCAGTCGTCACCGGCCATGGAGGACAGGACAGTCTGACCGATGTTGCCGGAGCAGCAGGCCAGTTGAACTGCCCTTCGGAGAATTGTGCCCATCGTCCAAGACGTTGATGGATGTTAGTGATTGGCATCCCGTCATCCTCACAGATTGTTTCGCTCACACCAGACTTCTTGCTGCCAGTGGCTCGGATGAGTTGGAAGAGCTTCCGGTAATTACCAGATGCAGCTGTTGCTTCCAACTCATTAGCATGCACCGACCACCAGGCTTCTCGGTCCTTACGCAAGCTTTTCCCAATTTCCTTACGTAACATCCTTCGTTTGTGGTCAAACTCACGGTCACCCGGAGTAGACCGACGGGCTTCAATGAGTTGTAAGGAACCTGCAGAAACCCAGTGCTTATAAGCGGGACGTTTCGCGAACCCACAACTGACTGTACCCGCCATTTTCATGGCGTCATGCAATTGCAACCAATGCTCATCTATACTTTTCGGTGGAGTGGTAGCTAGCCTAGAAGCTAGCTCGGTTCGATACTTACTAGCAACAGAAGTTGCTAACATTAATCCGTTGTTGGCGGTCACTTCGTTGTCCACTGAAAAGTAAGGTAAGATTGACGCAGACCAGGGCATGATCAAAGTTCATATAGGTACTCCAAAAGGAGCAGCAGTCTTTTACACAACCACGTCAGCGGTAGCTGATCGCGATGTGATCAATCTGAGTCCAGGCTTGAGGTGCAGAGGGAGAACGCCAGGTGGCACATCGGCGATGACTGTGCCGAAAGTTAGTGCTAGCCAGAAACAGGTTGTGGTCTGTTCAAAGTTGCAGTAGACGGTCCCCGTTATCTGACCTGCGACCAACAAGTCCCCATCGGCCACCTAAACGACTCTCTTCTGTGCCTAGACGCCCGACCTGAGCATTCAAGTCTCCGGCTAGTACCACAATATCTGTCGAACGCACTTTCTGGAGAAGAACAGATAACTGGTGGTAAAACTCATCCTTGATTGCATCTGGGCTGCAATCTGTCGGAGCATAGTCGGAGATGACGTAAAGACACCGTTTCTCACACCGATTTCTTCTCACTTTGATGGAACTTTCTAATCGAACAGCACATAACCGACTGTTAATGGGGATCCAATCGACTAGTGCTGCCTCAGCTCTAGCGCTTAGTGCGACACCAACGCCAGCAAGACCAGACGAAGGTGCCACAGGGTCCCTGGATAGGCTCACGTAAAACAAGCTTTTCGAAGCGACAGATGGAGATCGAATTTGTAGTACTTCACCAGAGTCTTGAATACGGGTCTCGGATAGACAACAAACATCGATATTAAGACTTTCCAAAGATATAGCCATCCCTATCTGTTGTCCGACCTGCATAAGTGTGCGAAAGTTGAAGGCAGCCAGTTTGAATGATGCACGTGTTTTCAGAAAAACTGCTTCAGTATTCATATTCGGCGGTAACGTACAATTTTCAACCAGGTAGTGACTCGAGAACGTTTAGATACAGTCGAATTTCCACCAAAGACGAGCCGCTGTATAAGTATAAAAAAGAGTGAATAATGTGGTAAATAATAATAATAATTTGATTGTTATTTGAAGCGAGAAAAGTAGTTTCCATAGATATAGAGAGTCCATTATTTGCGTGTGGGCTGCGATACTGCCCGGGTGCCCAGACCGAAGCAGGTGGTTATCTTAGGGGGCCACAACCTGAGCCTTTGACCTAAAGGTCTAACCCACAAGGCAGTGGAGCATCGTAAGGAGATGCAGTCCCATGGTAGCCGCTGACCAACGATTGGTTCATACGCCATTTGTTCCCGCAGAATACTGGAGCCCAGTTGCACCATTGGTTTGTGATCCGGTTAAAGCGCCGAACATTCGCTTTTCGTCTTCTCATTTTCGTAAACAACACCCCCGCCACGAGAAGGTAGTGAGTAGGACTTCCCTGACAGAGGCTGTGTATGCGTGGCCGTGTGAGAGTATTTCGACTGGGAGGGCGAACCCACCCCGCTCTCGGCCATACCAGGGCATTTGGGGGCCAACATCGAGACAGCACCCATGAACCTCCCAATCGATGTCAGCACACCTACAATTGAAGGGATCAGCATGGCCATCAGACAAATGAAGGGAGGGAAAGCAGCAGAACTAGACAACATTCCAGCAGAGGCACTGAAAGCAGACCTAGTAGTAACTGTGAAGATACTCCACATTTTCTTCAGCAAGATTTCGGATGAAGAACAAGTATCAACAGACTGGAAAGAATGACACCTGATCAAGATACCAAAGAAAGGCGATCTCAGCAAGTGTGATAACTACAGGGGCATCACTTTTCTCTCAATACCAGGAAAAGTCTTCAACGGGGTATTGTTTAACAAGATGAAGGACTCCGTAGACACCCGACTCCGAGACCAACAAGCTGGATTCCGTAAAAATCGGTGGTGTACAGACCAAATCGCAGCACTATGGATAATTGTGGAACAATCAATTGAATGGAATTCATCACTCTACATCAAATTCATTGACTATTAGAAAGCATTTGATAGCGTGGGCAGGACAACACTATGGAAACTTCTTCGACACTACGGCGTGCCTCAGAAGATGGTCAGTATCATACAGAATCCCTATGATGGATTAAACTGCAAAATCGTACATGGAGGACAGGTCACAGACTCGTTCGAGGTAAAGACCGGTGTCAGGCAAGGTTTTTTACTCTCACCCTTTCTCTTTCTCCTAGTCATCGACTGGATCATGGAGATGTCAATATCTGAAGGGAAGCATGGGATACATTGGACAGCTAGGATGAAGTTGGACGATTTAGACTTCGCAGATGCTCTGACTCTTCTATCGCAAACGCAACAACAAATGCAGGAGAAGACGAATAATAATGTGGCAGCAGCCTCAACAGCAGTAGGTTTCAATATACACAAAGGGAAAAGCAAGATTCTCCGATACAACACAGCATGCACCAATCCAATCACAATTGACTGAGAAGATTTGGAAGATGTAATAACCTTTACATATTTGGGCAGCATCATTGATGAACACGGTGGGTCTGATGCAGATGTGATGGTGCGGATTGGCAAAGCAAGGTAAACATATCTACAGTTGAAGAACATCTAGAACTCAACCAACACCGAAGTCAGAATTTTCATTACAAATGTCAAGACAGTTCCACTGTATGAGACGGAAACTTAGAGAACTACGCAAGCCATCATTCAGAAGATACAAGTATTTATTAACAGTTGTCTATGCAAAATACTTCGGATCAGTTGGCCAGACACTATCAGCAACAATCTACTGTGGGAGAGAACAAACCAGATCCTAACGGATGAAGAGATCAGGAAGAAGCGCTGGAAGTGGATAGGATACACATTGAGGAGAGCACCCGATCGCGTCACAAGGCAAGACCTCACTAAGAATCCTGAAGGCCAAAGGAGTAGAGGAAGACCAATGAACACATTACGCCGAGAATTGGAGACAGACATGAGAAGGAACAACAATTAGATAGAACTAGAAAGGAAGGCCCGGGACAGAGTGGGTTGGAGAATGCTGGTCGGCGTCCTATTCTCCATTTGAAGTAACATATGTAAGTAACGTTGACTAGGACTTATACAGTAATTACTCATCCTTTGTATTCGATGTATTTTTAATGATTTTTTACTAAGGTAATAACTAACGTTAAAATAAAATTACTGTGAATGGAGTTTTCTCGGCAACTTAATAATCATTAAAATCATACTATTTGATTCAAATATAATATTCGGAATCAGTCGAATTTATTACGTCATATTTGAGTAGAAAACAGATTTATATTGGATGCATTCCAAAAAATGTTTCGTAAGTAAAAACGAAGTAATAAAGGTATTGACTTCATAAGCACCAGGGGGGATGCTCATCATTGACATCAGATGAAGGTAGGATTTTATTGCTAAATAAGTTTAAACTGGAAAATGTGGACTTGATATTTGCTTACAGGCTAAATTATATGGTGCTTACTGAATAATCCAGAAGTTACGGATTCATTCCGATTTTAGATTGTCAATGTTCACTCCAATAATTGTCCACTGATCCACATGTTTTTTTAGTCTTATTCAAACTGATACTAGATTTAGGTGAAACTTAGATCTAAATCTCCACGAGCGGTAAATGCAAACATAAGGACAAATTAGTCGTACTTAGTAATATAAGAACCATTTATCATATTTCCTTTGAATTCAGAAATAAATTTGTGGTTGATTCTGTTGATGGGTCAGTCGCTTTACTTTATTACCTGTCGTAGCGTTTATTGCCTCGAGTATTATTGTCTCTCATTTATGTGCATCTGATAAAAAACATATAATTTCCACCGTAATTGATAATTGTTTCATTGCTAATTATTTTAATGTTCGTTATCTCATATGTTAGGCTTCCTAGTTTGAATACTTTTCAAAAGCTTTCGCTGACACTTTTTGTTATGTTATTAATTTCTAGGGCTATTTTAAATATTACTGGGACAAAAAAGGTAAGTTTAGTATTTATTTAGTTCTTAATGATTTAAAAAACTTACGTAATATAAGGATAGTCTTTAAGTATTTCATGTCTACCAAAGATTATATTTATAGGCAAAACATAAATGGATTTAAAATGGAAAAGTATGTATAATAAATATTTTTCATTTTCAAGTACTTATGGACTCGGAATTCGCGCACAAAACCACCGATTATTGTGCTGAGCCATTGAGATAGGTGCAGATCACCTGGTTAGGACCAGCGTGACTATCATAACCAATGGTAAAAGGCGTTATGTGACATGACTTAAAATCGGTCGAAATGGGTCAGGCGCATTCACTTTTTGTATTTCCTTAGGTCTTAAGCTTCTAAATTACCTAGGAAGTTCTTTTCATTATGCTAATCCATATCTTCTTTTCAAATAATATTTTCGATATCCCATTTATTACCACTAATACTGTTACTACCTCTACTACTCTGAGATATGTTTTGACAGCGTCATCAGAGTATGCTAATGGATTGTAGTTACTTGAGTCAGTGCACACATATGCCAAGTCCTACGTTAAGTATAACTGACTGACTGAATTGTTTTTCCTGTACAATTTAATTCTGAACAACAATAGGAGTTTTATTTTTCTATTAGTCAGCTAAGATATGGTTTCATCCAAGTTCATGTGTGTTCTCTTTCTGTCATTTAAAATAGGCATGAGTTACTTCAAACTTCCATGTTGTCCACTAAATTATGATAAGCCTAACCTTTAACAATGATAGTGTTTGCAGTAGGGTTAGATTGTTTTTACAACTACTTAATTTTATTCACTACATCTTAGGAAGTATGAATTTTCTTCCTTCTGTCCATGAATTTTGAATTTCCAGACCTACCTTGTTAATGCAAATATATCAATCATTTAGTGACAGAGAATTTCATACTCATGGTTGAGACTTCTTGGTGAAAGTATTTTCCGTTGAAAATCTGACAACAGCTACTACCTTTCTAAAAACGCTTTGGAACTCATTGTCCGATACAAATATATGATTGAGATCATGAACCGATTGATGTTAGACCACCACAATAGAAAACCTGGAAGCACTGGACGGCCGTTTCGTCCTAATGTGAGACTCCTCAGCAGTGCGCATCCACGATCCCGCCCGCGGGACTCGGACCCAGGGCCTTCGGTCTCGTGCGCGAACGCTTAACCAACTGGACCACTGAGCCGGCATCCAATGGTGATAGTTTCTAACAATAACCAATCCACGAAATTGCGCGACCAACTTCCGTTGTACTGGGGTAGAGTGATCTCCTTGCTTTGAACGGATAAATATTGATGACTGGTCAGTATCATACACGACCGGGGAAATCGAATAAATTTCAAAATCCAAGACAACTAAGTCCGTGGTTCGTATACTTCCAATAATTCTTTTGTATAGGTTACAATGACTATAACAAGGGGATTTGATAGTGAATCGAATGATCTTGGCCGAGAAATGAACACATTTGAAATATTTAAGTAGTTTTGAACTTCCTAAGCCATAAGCACTATTGGGATCTACATTCTAAAGTTGTTAATAATATTACGAGAACAAATTATAGACTTAGTATTGATTGCATACGTTTACTACGAGGTCAAATACTTTCATCAAATTAATTAGATTACCAATATTTCCGAGGTTAGAGGAGCAATAAAAAGTGTGGTGGAACGAAATCTAGTGACAATTAAATCTTGGTTTGTCGTATAACTACAAAAAATACGTAACTGGAACGTTTTGTCACCGGTTTAGATAACCAAAGAATCTTACTATATTTTAAATGAGGGACAAGTTATTTAGAAGTAGGATAACCAAATTGTATCAACATCTGTAATGTAATATAAGCATTATGAAGTACAGAAACCGACAAGGTGAAAGTTTTCAGTTAGGCTTGTGAAGATTTTTAACTTTCATTGAATCATGAGACGATCTAAGTTAAGATGACTATCAAAAGCCTAGAAGTATTGGACGCCCGTTTCACCTTAGCATGGGACTCCTTAATAGTTTGCGCACGCAGTACTCAAAACCAGCACCTTCGGTCTCGTTCACGAACGCTTAACCCCTAGACCACTGTGATGGAATCTAACGGTGTTTATGTCTAGCCTCAATCAATCCATGGCACTGAGTGACCATCTTCCATTGTCTTCGCTGAGTAACTACATCACACACATCGGTCACGGCTTTCCATTGGAAATCCGGAAATTCCCTCTCGAACCTAGTCACTGGTGAGCATATGATAATTTTCAGTAAGGGGTTGTGGAGGTTGTTGGATCTTATTGAAATTATTCACTTACTAAATACGAGAAAAGGAGTAAATTAACAGGCAAGCAGGTGACGATCACTCCTATCTGATTTGTAGTTGTGGTTTGTAAGAAACACATACATGTAGCGGTTCATTACTTAGTCATGGAATTCATTAGACAAGGAACCTCGAAGAAAATTTATCAGTTGTTTAGTCGATTCAAATGACTGGTTTATAAAACAAGGGCAAATGTATTTATAATAATAATAATAGTAATAATAATAATTAATCACAGTAACCTACAAGTCTGATGGGAAGTGGAATAACTGTGGTTAAATATATATACTTTGTTGCAATAAATAGTTCAGTACTTGCTTTTCACAAAATATAATTCGTGAGATTATTATTCTTGTTAAAGTTTTGAGACACCTGAAATAAATTCGCTTTACTTCTCTTTGTTTGTTATTTTTCACCACCACTGTGATGACAATACGTGTAAGAAAACGAAAATTCCCTCTATCTACTGTTTTTCCGTTTCTTGTATTTATTGTGTGGATGTCCAGTTATTAATTTAATTTCGTCACATAGCATACGTGTAACATCCTTTACTCTGTGTATTTGTTTATTGGTAATCAATTTTTCTAGATGTTATCATAGTCTAAAAATATCCTCTTACATTTCTTTTCCTTCCCACGATTGCAAAACGTTTTGTATTCTATGAGTCATTTCATTGTTTTATAATGTACAGTTAAAATGTATCTTTTAAAATTGTCGATCGGCTGTTATTTACTTCTCTTCTAGCTATTCTATCTCTGGATTAATAATTATCTTGAAACCCATTAGAATTAACTTGATGAGTTATCTTGCAACATTGGTTGCATCTTTTTTGATGAATAGAAATTGGTTTTCGTCTTTTTACAGCATTAATAAATGGTAGAGGAGTCAACACGCGGATTTTTTAATAACAAAAAGCATTATACTCTCTGCGATTCATCTACCGAGTACTAGTTTATGTACTTGATGTTAAGCCACACTATTTTTGTAAGGGGGCAAATGATACAATCCGGTTATCTGAACTGAAGTAGGTGGGTGGTGAGGTTCGGACATGCAGCCTACCGGTTGGTTGTCCATTCAATAAGCGACCGTTCTACTATTACACTTTCTATCTCCTTAGCATGTTAACCATATGGCTTTGATTATCTTACGTAAATATCTAACAAATATTTTATTTTAGCTATACGATTTAGGAAAAAATATCTAGTGGCAAATAGGACAAAGTATGGAGAAGCCTTGTTGTAAGATTAAGAAATTTCAAACTACAAAAACGATTGGTTTGGCAAAGAGTTCTCTTCGGCCAATCCATTCTCAAATATGTATAATCGTAAAACATGATTTCTTTTCAGATTACCAATCAATGATCTGTTTGTTAGTAACTTTCGCGAACTGTATGTTAAGACGATAGTACAACCAGAAGTCGAATGAGTTGTTTTGTATTGAAGAAAAGGCCAAAGTATGTATTTTGTCTACCTCTACAATAACGGGTCAAAGGTCAATAATGACCAATCGAGGTGACAGGATAAGCTATGAGTCACGTAGAGAAATTCAACACTAAACTTCTAGTTTGTGCTGATGATGTTGTTTAGAAGAACAAGGAGAGTTCCATGATCCAACTCAGAGAACAAAACCCAACCTAAATATATGTATTTTGTGACTGTACAGCTTTGAGTATAAACTCGCCGAAGAGAGTACTTTTAAACTAGTTTTTCCGATTCTTATGCCTCAATGATTTATCAAGCAATTTTACCAAACTATTTGCTAAAGTAATCATAATCTGAATAACAAGTTTGTAATATTTTGTGTTTACCTAACTCTGAACCGACTTGATTACGTATACGCTCACTTGCTCAACGTCATATAAAATATTATATTTCATACCATTACTTGAATCTTAGTTAATGTTATTAGGCCGTTGTTTTTTTCTTCACTTTTCCTGCGTTATAATTTTCAATAGAATATTAGATGTGTTTCAAATTCCGTCTTCATTGATAAATATAAACTTTATTGTATAGAATCCTTTGATGTATATTTTGGTGATCATGATATCTAGAATTTATCAATTTACAATGTCACTGCATCATTTTACCATGTAATTATTTTAAAAACTTCCATGAGTTATTTTACGAAATTTCCGAGTTAATTGATCGAAATGGAGTTTTTATATACAAAGTTCAGTAATTAAAAAGAAGAAGCTTTTTCAAGGAAAATATTTTCCTTGAAAAAGCTTGGACCAGATTGCCAGGCGAAACGTTGGATTTACTTAAAATTCATTCGCTGAGATTTTACAAATATATTCTTCTTTTTAATGTCTCAAATTAACTCGGCGCCCAAATATTGTGAAACTATTCGTTCAAATTTAGACAAAAGTTCTTATTTATTATTTTGCAAAAGTTCAGTAATGTTTAGTGGCTAGAGGTATTCATCAGGAAACGCTGGACCTGAGTTACGTTATATCTCCTACTTATCAACAAGGCTTAACTGTCATCTTTAGAGAACTGACGTTCTATGTGGTACTTAAATCCGAGTCACCCAGCTTCACAGTCTGGGACATTACCACTGAGTTATTCATGTTAAGACTGATCTCTTGTAGGACTGAGGTATTTACAATTTATTGATCATCAAGTGGCGGCCAATGTTATGCTTGTCTAGCTCTTTGGTGATCAACCACTCGCTTCTCAAATAGCTGAATGATAACATCGACTGTGAGGTTAGCTGATGCTGATTCAAACACCAAAAGGATGTTCAGTTGCTTCAGCATTACAACTGCAACTTGTTGGTGAGTGACGACTGATATGAAACCTAGGTCGAAATGTTTCTTCCAACTGACATCCCAATATGGTGAACACGATATTCAGTCACTCAGACTAGTAGCTACATTGCATCCTGATCGATAGAATTCACTCTTCACTAGAAGAACTAGACAAACATGACGTTGTTCATTATTCAGTGATCAATCAATTGTCATATTTTCTTGTATTATATTAATAAAGTAAAATTTGAAGGTAGACTGAGTTTGTTTTATGTTGCTTTTTTGTGGATTTTTGTGAGATTGTGGCTCAGTACACCGACTTAGAAAAAGTAATCTGATAAAAATATTTAAAATCAAAAAAGCATATGATGAAGTAATATAAAGTGGATTGAAATTCATTCGTGATAAATTTGTTAGAAAAATATCATATTCCTGAAGGTTCACGGTAAAATGTTTCGGTAAATGAACAGAATATTTGAAAAATCCTCATGACTGACTGATAAAATCTTCAAAATTAATCGGTACTTAAGAACTGAATCCTTATAATTTGAGACTAAGGAATGTTTAGTCTCAACTTCATAGGATATATATGTACAGAAGGTTGATGAAAGTCTGAAAATATGGAATTCCAAATGAATGGCTGAATGGAATTTCACTTACTACAAAACTTAAACATAGCGAAATCAGTTATGTGTGGTTATGATGATGAACACAACTGAAAATTTCCAAAGTACCAGGATTATTGAGGAAGGTTTTTTAAGCTATTCACAGACATCGTGTTACTAATAATTTAACCAGTGATTGTCCTTTTATCTCTACCTGAATTTCACCTTCATCCAATATCGTTAAGGATGTACACGTAATTTTGCCAATAAATTAGATACACGAGACTTCAGGAAACAACGTTTGTGTATGATCATATAATGTTTAAATGAACTGCGAAAGCCGTATTTTTGTCAGTCATTTTAAATTATGTCTCGTGATACACTGGATATCAGTGATAAATTTTCTGTCATCTACCTGATATAGTAAAATAATGGGCAAACTACATTTATTTATTTATTTATTTATTCGCTTGCATACATTCAATAATCTTATTTTTTATTATTCTTCCGAGTTCATAAAATGATATCCGAAGTATTTTTATGTAAATAAGTTATTGGTCGCAATTGACCTGTAGCGATTCATATGTACTAGTCTTCATTATATAAATGCCAAGAATAATTGCTTAAAGCATAAGTTGGAAACATAACCTTATGATTCGTGGATTTCTTTATATATATTTTTTGTCTTTGTAGACTCACCAGATAAAAATAATATTGAATCTGATCCATCATTAAAAGGAGTGGCTAATGACTGTAATGAATCTCAAGAACTGGTTATTAGCATAAATAAGAGTGGAATTTTATCAACAATGAAAGAGACATTTCTTCCTGGAATTTGTGTTTTAATCACATTGATGATTACTCTCTCACTATTCCCAGCAGTTGTAGCACGTATCAGACCTATCACAGTTATCCCTCAAGATCTTTGGACAAGTAAATTAAAAATGTTTTCATTTTTATGTGATACTATTTTGTACTGGTGTGTAACCGATATCTTATTTATTTATTTGAACCCATGGACATTGTTTTAAAGAAACACTAAATTACATATGCGACACACAATAACAATGAGGTTGTGAAGAGATGATGTAAATTGGGTGTAATAAGAAAGAACAACGAACATAAACTAGTATATTAGAGCTAAATAATAATAATAATAATAATAATAATAATAATAATAATAATAATAATAATAATAATAATAATAACTGGAGAGCTAGTTCTGTTAAGAAAAATAGAACCAGGATGAGTTCATCCAATTAAGAAAATTCATATCACTCATTAGAACAAAGTAAAAGAAATTCACAGCAGGACCGCCATTGGTTTCTATTCTGAGCCATATATGATAGCGTTTCAAATCACTATGTTGCACCATCTCTGGGACCCCAACAAGGGAGTCATGATGTACCAGTAGATGCCAGTCTTGTACAGCTTTCTTTCATATCACGACACCATGTTGTGAACTGACCACTTCTCCGCTTTTGACAACCAATCCCAAAGTCGGTAAGTAATGCACGACGTGGAATTCTCTGGGACGACATTCCTAGAACATGTCCAAGCCACCGAAGTCGATGTTTCAACATAGTGACACCCATTGAACTATCGTCTCTGCTCCCGGACGCACGATGCTGAACCTCTGCATTACTAACATGATGTTGCCACTGGATGTCAGCAATCCTTCGGAGACAACGATGATCAAACACAGAGAGGTCGTCTGACATCCTCAACTCAGACAGGCTAGGCTTCATAAGCACAGAGCAAAACTGCTCTCATCGACGCGTTGTAGATCTGACCTTCTACAGCCAAACTAACATCACGAAGGCGCCAAAGACGGTCCAGATGGACATAAGACACTCTGGCTTTCACTACACTCGAATTAATCTCATCACTCGCACCACCAGCATTTATGCAGCTACCCAGATACACGAACTTCTCGACCCAGAATAAGTGAAGGTTCAGGGTCTGCCAGTCTTGTAAAGGTACTTCGCACTACGAAGTATGACGGAAGTCTGTAATGTGGATGCAATCGGGAGTAGTAAACTTATCTCCCGATAGTTGTTGCATGACTGACGTGAACTCTTTCAAGATAGGGAAGACTATGGACTCATTCTAGGATGTTGTAACACCAATTGCCGTACATTTGCAAACAACTCAGTTCCTTAACTAGAAGGTCGTCACTAACTTTGAAACTGATCGGTGGTAGGTCATTTGGGCCTGGCGTTCCATGAGTTGGAGTCCCTTGTGGACTTGGGCCTCGTTGGATGGGTCAGTTAACACTTGCTAGAGTTGGAAAAACAGTGATGGATGTTACCGGAGCAGCAGACCAGTTAAATGGCTCATTGGAATACTGCCCATTGTCCAAGACGTCGGTACATTTCATCGATCAGCGTTACAGGTCGTTTCACGCACACCAGACTTGCTGTTGCTAGTGACTCGAATGAGTTGAATGAGCTTCCAGTAGCTACTAGATGCAGCTGCTTCTTGTACCTCGTCAGCACGTTCCGACTATCAGGCGTAACAATCTTCATTCATCTTCAAACTCGCGATCACTTGGAGTAAACTTAAGTGCTTCAACGAATTGTATGGAGCCCTTGGAAACAGTCTTTATAAGAGAGACGTTTCGTGAAGCCACAAACGACTTTGCTCTCCATTTTCATGGCATAATGTACTTGCAGCCAATGCTCATTTATACTTTTTGGTTGGTTGATAGCTAGCCTTGAACCCCGCTCGGTTTGATATTTAGTTGAAACAAAAGCTGCTACCAATTTGCTTGCATCGATCTGTTTACGATGACGAATTTGTTGGTCACTGAAACGTAAAATAAAATTAGCGCAAACAAGGACATTATCAGAGTCCATATAGGTACTCCAAAAGGAGCAGATGTCTTGTACGGAATCACTCAGACGATAGCTGATCGCGATATGATCAATCTGAGTCCAGGCTTGGGATGCAGAATCAGGACTCCAGGTAGCACATTGGCGATGACTATGCAGGTAGTTGGGTTTGTGCGTAATGTTGCAGTAGACGGTCCCCGTTGGTCACTTAAAAAACTCTCTTCTGCTCCTAGATGCCCAACCTGAGCATCCAAGTCTCAGGCTAGTACTACAATGTTTGTCGAACACATTTTCCGTATAAGAACAGCTGGTGGTAAAACTCATCCTTGATTACATCCGGGCCGCTATCTTTCGGAGCGTAGGCGGGGAGTACTAAAAGATATTTCTCGCACAGATTTCCTCTCACTTTAATGGAGCTTTCTAATCTGACAGCATATAACCGACTGTTAATAGGGATCCAGCCGATTAATACTACTTCAGCTCTAGCGCTTAGTGCGACACCAACAGCAGCAAAACCAAACGAAGATGCCACATGGTCCCTGAATATATGCACTTGAAGCAAACCTCAAAGCGACAGATGGAGAGCAAATATTTAGTACTTCACTAGAGTTTTGGACTAGACAACAGAAATGGACGTTGAAACTTTCAAAAGACGTGGCCTATAATGGCTGATACCATGTCAAGCCCTCGTAGGTTATTCTAGCTTCTGGACAAACCAACTTATTCATTATTCTCAAGCCACATTTTGGCCTTGTTGATTATTTGCTTATTAACCATGACTTTTTATATAGTCCTATGTTTGTTAATTGCTCACCCTATTAATTGCGTATCTGTTACTTATTTTGGTCTGAATATAAATAATGAGTCACGTTTGATCGAAACGAGTTGGCTTACTCGCCTCGAATGTGCGCCCCTTCATTTCATTCTGCTTCTCTTTCTTCAGTTCGCTTCTCTGATTGTCTGTCTGAATCAGTTAGTGTATGAAATGTACGTATACAAAATTCATTCACGTATTCGGTTTTTATTTCGTAATTCTCGAACGCGATTAAAGTCGATAAAAATATACGAAGGTTGACGGCATGTATATTTTGATAACAATCAGCATATGATTTAACTGGAGTCAGATACGGGGCCACTAGAAGCTAATCCTATTTGCCGTCTAATCTGCATTAGTGTGCGAATGTTGTAGGTGGCTGTTGTTGTGATGGCTGTCTGAAATCTGATGCTGACACATTGTGTGCTACTCACTAACCCTCCCCCAACTGACTATTTGGACGAGAACATAAGAGTGTACAAGAATGTACAAATACCCATTCATATATATATATGCCACCCTAATCCGTAGGGCTGTTGATCTATTTCTTAGCCAATAAAATTCACTTGTCTTTTAGGTCACTTTGTATTGCCATCAATTGACCTTCCCATTAGGCTATTTCTGAATGGCTCTCCGTATCAGAGGCCAGTTTGAATGGTTTACGTGATTTCAGAAATACTGGTTCAGTATACTTAATTGGCGGTTACATTCAACCTTAGACCAGTTGGTGACTGTAGATCGTTTAGACAGGACTATGTTCCTACCATAGGCGAGCTGCTCTATAAGTTTAAAAATAAAATACAGTGAGAATAAAAAGTAGGTAAGTTAAGTTGTACAAAAGAAATATAAACGAATGACATCAAATGATTGTGAATGTGATTTGTCCGAATTCGAGTTAAATAAAGAATAATTTTTCTAGTTATAATTATCACCTGATTTGTGTCAGTCAGTCAGCTACAACGTAGGACCAGGCACATATATGCATCGGTTCACGTGACCACACCTCATTAGCACAACAAGATGAAAGCCAAGTTCATATAAGCAGTTACTTCAATGGTAGCAATATATATTTTAAAAAAGATTGCATATAAGGATATAGTACAGGAAGAAAGAATTAGTTCATAGAAAGAAAGATATGAAGTGATTTTAATCTCTTAGTTTAAGGGACGGCAGAGAGTGTATACACCAATACCACTGTGATCGATTCTGAGCCGTTCCACCCAGAGTCTCTAACCATTGGTTACGATAGTCGCGCGAACCCCAACCAAGTAGTCTGCATCTAACAACATAACTGAGACTAGAAGTTAGTGGCTTCAAATACTGATGCCACGTTTTGGTTTGGCCGCCCCGAACTTTCTTCCATCCTTCTCCAACACTAGTCAGCATTAAGCATCGTGGTAATCGGTGTTCGGGCATACGTAACACGTGACCCAACCATCTCAGTCTATGAAGATTCATAACCTCATCAACTGATTTGCCATCATTCCCTAATGCCCTGCGTCGAACCTCACTATTACTTACCCGGTGATCCCACCAGATGCCAGCAATATTTCTAAGGCATCTGTGGTCAAATTCTAGTAGCTTACGAGTATCTTCTGCTCTTAATGGCCATGTTTCGCTGCCGTAAAGTAGAACAGAACGAACTGCCGCGCAGTATACTCGTCCTTTTATTGATAGACGGATATCTCGCCTTTGACACAGGTGACGTAAGTTGGCAAAAGCCAAGCGAGCTTTTCGAATCCGTGCTGAGATTTCGTCAGACACCAACCCATTAGGGCTGATCAGACTTCCAAGATAAGTGAAGTTGTCGATGCGTTCGACTACTTCACTCCCTATCCTTAGTTCAGGTGTTAACGCAGACCAGTCCTGAAGCAACAACTTGCATTTAGAGGGAGAGAAGCGCATTCCAAACATCCTGGCATTGTTGCTCAGTGCTACCAGAAGACTCTGCATTTTGTCAGCGTCTTCACCAAACAGAACCACATCATCTGCGTATTCTAAGTCGATAAGTGGACCTCCTGAAAGGAGATCAATACCCGAGAACTCAGTTGACGAGAAAGTTATTTCCATCAGTAGGTCTATGATGAAGTTAAACAAAAATGGAGAAAGTGGACAGCCTTGACGGACACCACTTGAGGTTGCAAAATCAGATGACAGTTCGCCATAAGCTCTGACTCGACTAGTAGTGTTCGAGTAAAGAGCCTTCACAAGGTTTATGTACTTCTGAGGTACGCCTTTCAATGACAGACACTGCCACAGAATCTCGCGGTCTACGGAGTCAAATGCTACTTTTAAGTCAAGAAATACCACCATTGTCGGACGCCGATAAGTATGCCTGTGTTCTAGAACCCGACGAATGGTGAATATGTGGTCGATGCAGCCACGACCAGGTCTGAAGCCAGCTTGATTCTCTCGTGTTTGCAGTTCACGAGTCTTAGTTACGCGTCCGATAATTATCGAGGCTAGTATTTTAGGTACTATATTAGTCAAACTAATCCCTCTATGGTTGTCACAGGATGATTTTAACCCTCTTTTATATATTGGGACGATAAGTGATTGCGACCAGTCAGGTGGAATAACGTCTAACTCCCAGAACTTAGCTAAAATATTAGTCAACCTAATCGCTAAAATTGGACCACCATCCTTAAAGACTTCTGGAGCCAATCCATCTGGACCAGCTGCCCTTCTTCGTTTCAGATTAACTATAGCCTTTTGAACGTCAGCTAGGATTGGGGGACCTACTTCAATGTTCCATTCACACTGTCTGGGAATGGTGGGTAGTTGTAGAGTAGCTGAAGGCCATCTGAACAGTTCTCTAAAATGTTCCGCCCATCGTTCTAAACGTCTGGACTGGGAGCAGATGAGGGTGTCATCTTTTTCCGAAGTAGTCTGACTCACACTTGACTTCTTAATTCCAGTTTCTTTTATTAGTCTGTAGAGCTGTCTTGTGTTCCCATAGCTGCCGCCCTTTCCATCTCTTTCGTTGCCCACCACTGCTCACGGTCGTTCCTTAGACTTTTGCTTAACCTAGATCTGATTTGTTTACACTCTTCATCATGTTCAGAACCTGATGGGATGAGTTTGCGAGAATCCATCAGTGCAATAGACCTTGAAGAAATCCATTGGTTCTTTGTAACCCTGTGGTTTAAATCACTGATAGATGTCACTGCTGTTTTCACAGCAGTTTGTATATCTTTCCAAGCAACATCTGGGTCAACCTCGTTTTCAGAACTACCTAGTTGTGACCTCAGTTGTTCCTGGAACCTACTTTTGATTTTCTCGCTACTCAATCCAGTTCTAATGGGTCCTTTTAGTGTGGCTTTTTTGCGTCCAGTGAGGCGCAAGCAGATGCGTGCCCGTATTAGGGGATGGTCGGAGTCCAAGCGGGTACTCCAGAATGAGCGACAATCTTCTACCGACCCTCTCCAAAGATGACTGATGGCAATACGGTCTATTTGAGTCCATCGTTGGTTTGGTGTAGGGGGTCGCCATGTTAGACGATGTCTCTTCTTATGCTTAAAATTTGTGTTTGTTAAAAATAAACGATTGTCTGAGCACAGTTGCAGCAGACGACCACCATTACCTATTCGTTGTGCCGGAATACTAAAATACCCACCTAAATGCCTTTTTGTTTGGTTTAAACTACCTATCTGGGCATTAAACTCACCTGCTACGAGTACTATGTCTGAACGTTTAGCTTTCTGAAGAAGTTCAGATAGCTTTCTGTAAAATTCATCTTTCACTTCATCCGAGCTGCAGTCGGTGGGAGCGTGGGTAGAAACGACGAAAGGGTAACGACGCGTGTCCCTATCCTTCCGAATTCTTACGAAGCCGTTTAGCCGAACAGCACATAAACGACTGTTAACGGGGATCCACTCCAACAGTGCTTGTTCCGCCCTCATGCTTAGTGCTATCCCCACACCTGCCAGTTCACGTGAACTGGCCGTTGGCTCACGAAATACACAGGGGGTCTATCTCGTTGGACCCATCCTTTTGCCGAGCTGAGGTCAAGTGAATGGCCATACCGGCATCCTGTATGCGTGTTTGAGAGTCACAGCATACATCAATGGTACGAGATTCTAGGGTTCTAGCCGAGGAAGCCTGTTAACCGATTTGACATAGGGTGCGTACGTTGAAGGCTGAAATGTGTAGTTTGGAGCGATGTTTCAGTAGACCTGGGACAGTGTTTTGAGCACTAGAATCGTTTGCTATGGTGACATTTGAGGAGGAAGCCGAAAAAGGGAGCTAAGAGTCGATGTAGGAGGAATAATGGAAATTGAAGAGAGAGGTTGATTATGAATACAGTGGTCTTGAGTGATGTTAGAGGTATGAGAGTGGTTATCACTTCCCGGTTGCCTACACCGTGGAAGGGTTGTTCTGGAGGTACCTGAAAAAGAAATTGGATTAGAGGTGGTCTTATTGACGTGGTAGCGTGACCGCAGTGCCCAAGGGACAACTGTTTGAGGTCGGTCACACACGATCTTTTTATGGGTAATTTTTGTGTTAGCTCCGTACTTTTTGGGACCTTACCGTCGGAGACGGATATCCGTGGGATATGGCGAGGTGTGCCTTTTTAGGGTCGACCTTTTCTAACCCCGCCCCTCCTTGTGGGAAGGCAGCATCGCTGTCATGCTGGTTATCTGAAGGAAACACCTTACTGCTGTCACACCTCTGTACAGTCAGCAGTACGACTTCGCCTTCGGACCCTGGGTTTGTTGCTTTTAGTTTTACCGCTCATCAACCGACCTGTCTGACATGATAGGACCTTGAGGACAATTGTTCCAGCCAGTATAGCTCGATTGCTTGATCACGATAGTCAGGCCCGACCACCATGTCAAGGTAGCAACAACGGTCAGGAGCTGATTTGTGTTAGGGCTTGAATACTGCCCGGCTGCCCAAACCGAAGCAGGTGGTAGCCACAGTCTGAGCCTTTGACCTAGAGGTCTGATCGACAAGGCAACGTTAGGAGATGCAGTATCATGGTAGCCGGTGATCAACAATAAGTTCATACACCATATGTTCACTCATGATCCTAAACTGACGTGCACCATCGGTTTGAATCCAGTGTTTTCCAACTCCCCAGGAAAATCCTTCGTATTCACCTAGTGTTATTATGATTTCTTAACATTTTTCTTACAATATTTCAAGTTCATCATAGTTGTCTTCATTGAAGTCCTAAATTTAGATTCATTTCATACTCTTCATTTTAAAAACCTTTCGTTCTTTCAAACGTATGGCAAATAAGAAACTATTTTGGAGTTAATTTATATGAATTGATTCTTTGAATCTTCCCATTGATGTTTAGGGCTATAATTGATCATTAACTTTTGGAATATGTATATGCTGTTCAGATAGCCTTGATCTTGTCACAGGCATTCTAAGCAAAGATAGATGGTGGCTAGCAGTGACATTCAGAACGAGTCCCAAATAAGACGAAAAGCTCATCCTGAACTCTACAGCTGGCCGCCATCTATCTCTGATTAAAGATATTTTGTTGTTATTTTGAATTCCTCAACTAATATCTATGTTAAGAAGCTATTGTCATCGCATCTAGCGTACGACTAAATCTTAGACAACTGAAGACTAAGTTGAATTGGTTATCAAAATATATCAGACAATATGAAAGCAAATCCACCTACAAACTATACACTCAGTGTAGTTTTATCTATGAGAATTTCGCCAATCATCTAGTAAATATAAACAACTGCCGATTATTCTCATGTTAACTTATATATATATATATATATATATATATATATATATATATATATTCTGTGGTTATATATTTTTAGAAGTTTATTTTGTGCCAGTACTTGTGTATCTTTTGTACAATGTTGGTGATTGGTGTGGAAGGATGCTAGCCGGCTTTATAAAATGGGTAAATAAATAAAAAATTCGTCTTTTTTCTGTTGGTGTAAAATTTTCAGACTGATATGTAAAAACAATTTCAGCTTGAATTAATATCTTTATTATGTGCCAAATACCTTTTCAGTTTATTGTTAGAGTGTGAACCAATCATCTAGCCAGTGATGCAATAACCTTTTAAAAACATAAACTGTCGTAATGTGTAAAATATAATTTTGTACTTACGCAAAATGTACTTTAAGAAGGATTCCTAGAGCATGCGGATTTCCTCCACCTGAGTTATTAGATATCCCCAATATTTCAAAATTTCTTTTGAGAATATGTTTTACAAAATCAAGTCTTTTATGGTCGAAACTAGACTGCTACATCTCGACTCGGTCTTTATTTATCATAGTTATAGCGTTTGCTTGAGATCGGGTGCATTATTTTATGTTTGGCAGTCTTATTTTCCATCAGTAAACTTGGAACAGCATGGTTGACATTTGCTGTTTATTCATTTTCGATTAAAATATAAGTTATACTAAAACTGAACAGTGTATGTGATTATAATAAAGATTTAATCATTAATAGCTTCAGGATGTTCCACTTAGTGTCATCAGTTTCTGAAAGGAATAAAATTGATCGACGCTATATCACATGACCGGCCTCTAGAATTAAAAAAATTTGACGTAATGAGTCATGCATAGTTCCTCATTACGGTCTCAGACATGGTATCTCATTCTTGAAGTTGTTTGGAAGCAGGATCGAAACTTTTTGACTATGTTACCAGTTACCTGTTCGGTTAAGTGGAATGATAACAATTCAGAAGAACAGGGATACACGTTGCTAACTGTTTGCAATTAATGAAACCGCTCCTGTTGACTAAAGCAATAATGAAACAATTCTATAAAACGCTTTTTGGCGTCCAAAAAGTCAAATACTCTAATGTCGTAACTTTAGCCGACGACTTTAACATTCAAGTTAAACGGACTTAACCAGAAAAAGCAATCATGATTTACGCCTGTTGCAAATGTAACAGTGACTTCTGTAAGCAAGCTTAGTCAGTAGCTTATTAAGATCCAGTAAACTTAAGGTATGGTGATTTAATGAAGCTGTTAAGACACATGGTACTGATGTAGAGTCAACCCCATACTCACGATGCACTATACTTACTAGATTGAAAGTTCGACCATATCAAGACATAGTATCAGTGTGTGGTTTTGTTGACCATTTGCATAGAGCATGTTGAGCAGATTGAGCTTTTTGGTAGGATTCAGTGACACAAACGGCTTAAGGCCATTCTCAGCGACACAAGTGGTTTCCATCTTTATTTCCCTTTAAATATTGAACTTAGTGTTATTCCATAACTCATATTTTATTAACTTTTATTCTTTATATTTGTCGTTTTATTGTAATTAGTATGATTATTTTCTCTTTATATTTTTTTCATTCGTTTCATCGTTAATATGAAGTGTAATATATTTCTGCTATTATTACTATTTCTTCTTAGTATATTGTATTATTTTGCTAAATGTATCTTTTTAAATCTTTATACTTTATACAACGTAAAAAGTCGACTCAGAGTAGGAATATTTTCAAACCATTAAATTTTTGTTAGTAGTAAACATGTTATTTTGAATGTCTAACGTATAAGGGTTCGTACAATGAAGTATTGTCCTTTCGAAGATAAATTGGTATTTACTGATATCAAAACTATTTACGGTTATATTATTAACGATTTATAATGACGAATACTTCTGTTCTAAATTTGTCATGATATTGGTCAATCAATGTTTCCTTCCCCACTTTATCATTGTAAATGATTAACTCATTTGCTTTCAAACTTCACAACTGATACATCACTAATGATTTTATTGACATCAGTATTTATTGACCTTTTTGTACCAGTGATTTAATTAAGCAAAATGTGAAAATCTCATCAAGTTCATGATAGATCGATCCATTAATTATAAATGTGAAAAAACTGATTTGTTTGCTAGCACGTATGCCCTTAGAGTAATATGATAGAATTACATATTAAGGGTGTTGGAATATAAACTCGAGAAATTTCGTGAATAAATGGCTAATCAGAAATCTATTATGAACCAGTTAACAAACTACCATTCGGATTTAAATTAGAAATCGAAAATAGTCAATTTAATGGTGATTTTTTTCTAATTTCATTGAAATTACACGGAACGAAATTGATGGTTAGTCAGTCGCAACGCAAAACCTGGTACGTATACACGTCAGTTCACGTTCCCACATCCCATTAGCAGAGCGGGATCAAATTGTTAGGAAGATTCCCACAGTGGTAGAGGTAGTAGTATTAGTGTTAATAAAAGACTAGGTAACGAAGATACGACTAAAAAATATAAATTAGTGGGGTAAAAAATTGTAAAAAATTCGGAGTCCTAGACTCTGAGGGAAGACAAAGAATGAACACCACCCGTCGATATAAGTGGTAGTTGGGCGTACGTAACACATGTCCCAACCACCCATCGATTTCCCATCTTTACATGATATCCTATTTCTTAACCCAGTCATTATTTGCTCGGTAGCCCCAAAATACACGAGTAATGCTTCGAAAACACCTATGGTCGAATAAAAGTAACCTACGAATATCCTCCACTTTTAATGGTCATGATTCACACTCATAAAGTAGGACAGAGCGAACTACTGAACAGTAAACTTCTTTTGGTTGGCAGATGGATATCTCGCTTACTTCACAAGTAACTGGAGTCGGCAAAAGCCAATTGAACCTTCCGAATCCGTGCCGAGATTTCGTTGAACGCCAGCCCATGAGGACTTATGAGATTATTAGGATAAGAGAAGCGGTCAATAGGCTCAACTACTTCACTCCGTCACTAATTCAGGCGCCTATGCAAGCCAATCCTGAAGCAATGTTTTGCATTTTCGGGGAGAGAATCGCATCCCAAACATGTTTGCATAGTTTTTTAGGGCTGTCAGTTTTAGGGTAAGTCTTCATCATATAAGCTGTATTGCTATGTACAGCTGAAGGTCTCATATGAGACCGGAGGTTCGCTATTGATATTGTGGAAGGTTCGGCATTACTTTTGCTGACTGTTTATACGCAAAGCTGGTTTGCTGGTTAACCGATTTCATTCATACTGGTGGTTACTTTTCAGTGTTCTCAAGGGCCATTGTAAGGCATATCGCCATTGCTAACATTAATGAGTTTGACTGTCGTTTAAAGCGGAATAGGTCAACTTTGGCCTATTCATGCTGTGCATAATTGATTTACGCGGTCAATGATCGGAATAATTATACATGTGATGTTTATATGAATGATCCACCAAAGTGCTTGGTACCTGTGTGGTTGTGCCACAAGATTGAGCTGTACTGCTCGGGTTATAAAGTTTAAGCCTGGTTGGTGTCTGGTTCTCCTGCGAAACGGATTGAGCTGTATTGTTTTGGTTGTCACGTAAAAGTCTGGATGGTGTCCGATTCTCCTGAAAACCAATGTAAAATTACCATGGCCCACGAGGGTATATCGTATAACTGAATAAACTGGTTGATCCTGCCAGTAGTCATATGTTTGCTTGCTTGTCAGAGAAGTGTCTTCACAAAACAAAACTAAATCATCTGTGCATTCTTAGTCAACAAGTAAATCTCCTGGTTGATCAGCCTCTAAAAAGTCAGACAGAGTTGCAAAATCTGCACCCAGGTGATACTTAGTTAACTTAGCAACCACACTACCTAGGAGTGTTTCGTTAAGTAAAAGACTATACCTGATCTACTTTTTATTGTGATCATTTTGTTGAACCTTGCTGTTTTTACAGGTTCAGATCTAATTCTTCTGTCGGCAAAGCATTTGATTTAAATTTGAATTTAGTTATAACTTGTGAGTTTTTTCATGTCTAATTACGTAATGGTTCTATTTGTTTTAAAGGAACTAGAAAGGTTATTTCATAACGTGATGTCATACAACTACTATAATTTCAAAATAATACATTTATCAACTGAGATAACATAAAATCTTTTCATTGGGTCTTTTCTACAGCCTAGAAGAAATCAAATGCTAATAGTCTTGTTATTATGTGTTCTACGTGCTGCTATCATCCCATTATGTATGCTGTGTAATGCACAACCTAGAAATTATTTACCAGTCATATTTAAACATGATATTTTCCCAGCATTCATGATTCTATTTTTGGGACTAACTAATGGTTACTTAGTATCGATATCAATGATACATGGACCAAGGCAAGTGTTGTTTGTGCTTTTTTCATATACTAACAATTTCCTACACTGTAAAGACAAACTTTTTTCTATCAAAATATTCGTAATCGATAGTTGAATTAGTAGTAATTCACTGTATATTGTACAGCTAGTTTTGAATCAATGATTTGAATTTTATTCATTTCATTTACAGTACAGTTAAGCACTATCACTTACGAACTATTCGACAATCGGTCACCATTATTATTATGGTAGCGAGTCATCAATAACTACAAATATTTCGATTGCAGTCATGAATATTTGTCTTCTTTCATTTGACGTTGACAGACAAATCAATCAGTAATGTGCGACGCAGAACGTGGTATATGTACTGATTGGTTCAAATTGCTGCACTTACATTAGCACGGTTTTCTTCCAGCATACTTCTATATCACAAAACACGGTGTTTGGGGATAAGTAATACATGTCTCAATTATCTCAGTCGTTGGACATTCACTACCTCACCAACCTGTCTGTCATTTTTGTCTAGCACTGTCAGTCTAAGTTTAGCACTACACGCTCAGGCGTCCCAACATGCACAATGTTTCTAAGGCATCTATGATCAGATTCCAGTAGCTTACGGACATTGGAGAAGCATAAGTTAATAGCTACTGTTAGGTTGTTGAAAATTTGATTCGTTCACAGTTCAAAACTAAGATTCGATAACCAAATCCATTTGACAAACTCATCTCTACATTAGTTTGTTTGCTCTAAATATTTAGGTGAATGGATATAAGTGACAATGATTCTTCCTGCAAGTGTGTTAGTTAGAGTTCAACTAACTACTTCTTTACTGCATAAGATAATATCATGTTTGGAATTATTGGTTCGCGTGGTTTGATTTAGGACTTAATTCAACAACACTAATGAATAATAGCATTCATAAACGTATCGTAATTTTTGACAAGGTAGTGCAGATGTTGTTCAGGATTTAAGGGACTTAGATATGTAAGTTTACAAACTCTACGCAGTTTATTGAGTACAGAAAATGATTTTGCAGGGATTATTGATTTATGCTCGTAACTTCTTGGCTGACTTACAAGGTACTACCACGAATTCTGACGCTTTAAGTGATACATAGCGAACGTGATTATATGTTCATTCACTTTCCATTAAATTTCGAATTTCTTGAACATCCCACACTATTTCTACCTGCTTGTATATCACACCTCGTAATTATCACTACTGTTTTTATTTTTGTAATTTTACTAATTATTTGATATATGCGTATGATTAAACTTCCCTGTTTATTGTTTCGTTTAGTTTCGCATCACCTGGTAACCAAGAATCCGCTGGTGCAGCATTAAGTATATACTTATCTTTTGGATTATCACTTGGTGTTGCCATATCAGTTGGTTTAGTACAAGGTTTATGATTGTACGCGCGTTTGTCAGTGACTTGATTTTATCCATGCATCCGTCACAAAACAGTTAAAAAACAAACAACTGACCTTTTTTGGTCACATATTACATATATTTTCATTATTAATTGCTTTGCAAAAAAACAAAAATAAAGAATTAGTGTCTGAATTTACTACTTCTATGAATGTACAGATGACAACATTGAACAAGTACTATTCTCCACGATTGTTGAAGGTGATTCTGATTTTGTGTGTTCACTGTCTTCCTTGGGAAATGATGGTTGTAATTTTGATCGGAAAAAATCAAATATATGATGTAATACAGTACTAGGAATGAGATCATGTTCTGTTGTGCCTTGAATTAAAAGCAAAAAAGAAAAGTTGAAAAAGAAACAAATATTGACAAGCATTATGAGCAAAGATGGATGGTGTTTATTTATTTACTTTATTTGAACACATAAATATTGGTACAAAGGGGCAATATTTATCTCATCACAAATCTAATAAGACGGATGGTGGCTAGCAGTGGAATCCAGGACTCACGTTTCATCCTATTTGGGACTCGTCAGCTAGATGTACTTACATCCGAGTTGATGTTCACTCTGGGACTAGAACCCAGCACCGTTCGTTTCAAACGGTATCGCGTCCCAAATAGAACAAAACGCGTGTTCTGGATTCCACTGCTTGCCACCACCCATCACTGCTTATAATGCTTGTGACTTAAGGCAATATCAATGCTGTCCGCACAAGATGCATATATGCCAATAAGAGACGGATCAATTGCAGTCCCAAACATCAATGGGAAGATTCAAACGAACAGTACAAAAACGAATTAAATATTGACAAGGTTCATGGATGACATAGACTGTAATTTTCACATTTATATAAATCATTATTGTTTCTGAGCCGATCGAAGTAAAATACTGTAAGAGTAATCATCATTGAAAAAACCTGGTCAATAAGACAGCCTAGAACATGTGTGAGTAGGTTCCAGTTGTTATATCACATCAGTATGATGAGATGAAATAAATTAGATGAATAGTACAAGAGCCGAAGTAATAGCAAGATTAAACACTGAGTTCACAGTTCGAAAAGACAATGAAAATGTACATGTGGAGGAAAAGAGATAATCCGGACCTAGTACATTAATACTGATCCTAAACTGCATAACCTAGTCTTCAACTACTGATCGTGGTTGTCTGATAAACCCCAGTCAGGTAGTCAACATCTCCCAACAAGGTCAGCACATATATGTGTATCGAAAGAACAACTCTGAAGGTAAACTTAATTAAAACAAACACTTTAAAGGGGTATTTAAAGATAAATGTGGCAATTAATTTTAAAAATACCTACTTGATGACAGTGTTGGGATAGCATGTCGTTGTGCATTAACTTGTGGATTGAGTCGTGTACCTAATTTGAGATTGGCTGCTACATAGTTCACTGAATTCTGAGTTGTTTGTAGTAGTAGATTGAAAATGAAAGTAGATATATAAAATTTAGGCACATCAACAATGGTGTTACGACAGACCATTATGAAAAATTAATAGATCATACTTTTTTTCCAAAATTTTCGACAAATAAACACATTTAAAAGTTTCGAAATTGAATGCCTTTGAGCATTCATTTGAGCGCAAAATATTCATTTAACACAGAAACATCGAGTAATTAAACCTACAGTGAACTTGAGTCAACAATTGTCTTCTAAATCTAAATAACTTCTACACACTAATATGAACGAAGTTTATCAAAACGAATGATAAACACTCATCCTCTTCTATATTTGAAACAGGTCTAAGGATTGATTTTGATTTAACCTTTTTAATATCATATATAGTTTTTGGGTGAATACTTAGATCTTTGAAAGCTTTGGTCATAAGAAAAATATTTAAAATTGCTTGTATGTTAAAAATCATTTTGTACTTATATTAATCCGACTCGGGTAATGGTGCACTTTAGTTTACTATCCAAAAGTGAGTCGTTCCTCTATCACTCTCTGGTGCTTCCTACATTTTTATTTATACTCCTTTTGATATATATATATAACCAGGTTATTACAATTATAATGGGGCTCATTAATTCATATAATTCTGATAAACTTATTGTTTTAGTTCGACTATCAGTCATCATGTTTAGAAATTGTTGGAAAATTTACTTGAATATCATCCGATTCTTATGTAGTAGTTATTCTAAAAAAATGAATTTCAGTGAATATCACCTTAAACAATCCGAAATCGTGATAACGTGGTGTAAAATGAAATAGATATTCAAATTACAATCTGAGTCGTATAATAGTTAGGTACATGAATGGTTTTCGATAGTTAAAGTTTGGAGTAAGCAAGGATGAATATACTTTATAGTTTCGTTCACATTTTATAGGTACACTAAAGTGAAAGTAGACTCTCCAACATACGACAATTAGAATTGTTCGTGGTATGATCCCAATTTATGAATGACTAACAAAATATTAAGCGTAAAAATACCCTATCGCAAGTGGACAACAATGTGTCCTTTATCAGTACAGAAATTTGTGGAGATTGTAGTATTTTAACGGTTGAATTCGTCCTAGTATGGTACTCCTCAGCAGTGTGGATTCATACTGGGAGGGAATGTTCGTTCATTGCTTTTACGTCTTCAATGGAGGTCTGGTTTAGATCGACTTGTGAATTTAACTATGAAAATGTGTTCTTTCTTCATAAAACTAACGTACCTGTGATAACCATTCTCTGAATTGTAAGACTTTTTCTGGTATATTTTGCTGATATATTGTAGGCTTATAAATACAGGGTAATTCACTATCATTATTATTCTGTTCATTAAGGATATGCAACCCCCATCCAACCCCAGCTGCACATAAATCCAACACATCTGCTGAATCAGTAAATACAACAGCTTTTACACGACTTGTCAACTCACGCCATAAACGCTCCGCTTTACGTTGCCATGCTCTTGCTAAACGTAGTTGTAAAAATTCATCTGAATTATTATTATCCTTTGAAATGATATCAGACCATATACCAACACTTTGAGGTATGACACCACCATGTTTAGCAAAACGCATGGCATCCAAGTCACTACCACTTACTGCTGGTAAATTATCAACACATAATTTATTTTCAGTTTGATTTGTAATAGAATTTGAGGTATTTTTCTTTGAAATGTTTTTAGCTAATAAGCCGTTATCATCTGGTAACCAAAATGCACGCCTTGAAGCTTCTGGAGTGACATGATGTCTCCATGGTCCATAAATACGTCGATCGAACCATAAACGTCCAGTTGAAACTACAAACAATTAAAGTTTAATACAGTTCAGTTGTGGCTATATTTCGGATGGTTATACATAGTGGGAAAAAGTTAGACTGTATATAAGGATTACTATATTTGAGGTTCATATTACATTTATTTACAAACGTAATTATTAGACGCTTGTAGGATATGAAATTTTTGTACTACATTCAAATAAGATTTCCGTGTGAATACATTATTTCTTTTTTCGTTAACACTCAGCAATCGGAAATTTGACCGGGAAAAATTTGAACTTATTTTAACTTTCACCATTTAATCAAACGATTAGAAGTTTGATGAAGGCCATTTACGAGAAATGTAACAGGAGATTCTAGATATTAAACAGTTCCAAAGTAATTATTTCAGAAATATCTGAAACCCAAATATCCAGCGACTCAATATCATTAACTTGTATTTCACGAACGAATCAATCATAAATAGTGATCAAGATTTCCGATTTAACCGAATGGATGTTAACAGTGGTCTGAATTTAAGTTACTACATAATTAGATTGAAGTTAATTCTTATCACAAACTAATACTACTCAGCGATTCACTGAAAACCGATAGACACTGTTTTGTTTGTAATAGTCGCGATTCCTAAGAATCATGTTACCGAAATTCTATCCGGGATCGAACCCAGGAACTGCAGATCTTGCAGTGAACAATCCACTTTTACAAGACTGAGCAGGAATACAGAAGCTTATATGTACAACACTCTATTCTTACTATGGGGAGGTTGAGTATGTATTGATGAGAAGTTTCAACTTGAGGTAAAATATTTTTACAGTACTCCATGGTTTTGATTACTTATTTACGTGATATCTTTATTGGTAACATTTTAAACTGAATAAACTGAAAACCTTAACCTTAAAAATAATTTGTAACCGAGTTATGCATTATCTTTTTTCTTGCGTACATACAGATGCTGGCTAACTGGTACTACATACATTAGATTATCTAGTAGAGAAGACTATTGTTCAGCTTGTACCATATATTCTTGTTGTTTGGTTAGACCCAGTTTCATACAGAGAATCAAGTGCTCACTGATATAGACCAGTTTATTTACACGGTAGATAGCATTGGGTCTAATAAACTGACAGGTGACGAAAGTTCGAGAGTTATTCGAAAAAATGTAGCCTATGCGATCTACGGGATCGAAATGAAGAACGAAGACGAAGTATAAAGTTGGACAAACTGGGCTTTAGTGCCGCTGTTGCTGAATTTAAATAGTATAGATGTAGTGCTCAAACGAAAACTTATACAACTTCCTTTTTTATCATAGTCTCAGGTTCTAGTTTTCCAATGTTATTAACCTCTCTATTGATATCTTAAACTAATAACTGATTAATTTTGTTTCCATACCCTTTCTGATAATATTTCATTTTAACTTGTTACCCAAACAGCTTTTCATAATAATCATTATTTGTTTAACGTCTAAGATATTTTCTAATGAATATTTTAATGTCTTACTAATCATATTTACGGTTTTTTTTGATAAACATATCACTGATCATTAAAGTAAAAATAAATTATGTTTTACGAGTACACAGCTATGAAAATAGATTCATCGAAAAGAGTACTCTTAACTGAACTAATCTTTTTTTGTTTTCACCGCAATACAATGCAAACATGAAGTTCATTACGTAATAATAAAAGAATTATTTACAAGTTGATAGATTTATCGTCCATTTACTAACATAAGAGTTACCTTTAGGAAGTATTTCTCTAATTTCATCAGGAATAGTGTTGATAGTCACAAGATGTTTATTTTGTTGAGATTGTTCATCATCATTTGTAATAAGAGGTAAATTATCATTTGTAGGCTCCAAAATATATGCACTTTTACGTGTACTATTTTCATTTTTATGGGTCATAAGTATAGGTCCAGAAGATAAATGACGTCTTCTTGTAAAACGTATTTTTGCTTTGTCAATATTATTGATGCCATTGTTATGATAGTCACTAGGCACATTATTATATGCAACTTGTGTAGAAGGATTATTTCCATCGCATTCATTAGATAAACGTGGTTTTTTAGAAGTGTTATATGATACTGTATCAGACAGAACAACTGGTGATCTGAATCAAACAAGAAATGTAAAAGAAACTTCGAAAAATAAAATTTAAATATCGTTAATTAACGGTTACTTTTACTAATGTTAGTCTTCCTACGATTGAAGAAGAATTAAAAACAGTTTAGTGACGAAACGTTTCTTTCCGATGACATTATTTACTCAAACTATACAATTAGAGTAATCTATTGTCTCAGGGAATAATCTTTTTCTAGGTGTAAACCTATATTTCCATGTAGCATTAGATCAATCAAAAACATAGTTCTAATCGTCCAATGGAGAACCTGCTTTTAGACGATTAAAAACTTTTAACTTCAAAGGATCATTATTTCAGAAATCTTATTATCACAGTTATGTCGTTTCACATGTCTATATCGAACAGCGAGGTAGAGAGAATATATTTTGAGATATTTCTCGGCGTTAGATTTCCATTTGAAGAAGAGTTAGCCAAACAATTAAGAGTCTGCGGGGAATCAAGCTTTCTGACATTTTATTTTATGTGCTAGCCATTGTAGAAAGCGATATTTATATTAAATGCGTGTGCAGAATGAATCGGCATCGTCAGTAGCTGACGACAATGTTTCTGCAAATATCCAGTATAATAATAAATTAGGCAAGCTATTGGTTATGGATGTCAATCCTTCGCTCATCTTCGAATGGTAGGTGGATCGTTCACCGGAAACAGGTCAATGGCATATAACCATGGTTTACTATGCGTTGTTTATGAGTGAAGCTCATGGTTCCGTTGTTTGACAGGAGATTGAATGAAGAGCATTCGCCCTTTAATGCTGTTGGGAGCCGCAGACATTTTTATGATTGATATCGTTTACGAAACGTATGAAGAGTGAATGTGTCAACCGGTACGTTTCAACAGTTTCTGAAGGTAAAAAAAAGTGTTTGGTCCATTAATACCATTTTTAGACTACAATTGTACGTCAACGTAATTGAACAGGAAAATCCCACCTTTTTCCCTTACTTTAAGAACAACTTGCTGAAGTAGAAAAAAGATATTTTATTGGAAACCTTCGTAGACAATTTAGTAAACGTTAATGATTTCCATAACAGGATAAACCCTCTTCCTCTCAGACTTTTACCGACAGCATTCAGTTAAAAATGTCTTTTACACAGTTGAGTACAAGCAAGATTTCTCACTTAGTGGTCTATTTAAACATGAATAATACTTCATGTGCTTAACTCATTTCACTGTAATTTAGTGATTTCAAGCAACTCCTTTATGCATCCGTCATGTGATCATATGATTTCTTATATTAGCTATTTCCATCTACTTTCATGTGTATTCTGTTTTGCTGATAGATCATCTATCAAAAAAAGTCTCATGTGTTTTGTTAAGTGATTTATTTTTTTTAAAAAATATAACATGCAATTAAATATCGTGTATGCATTGAATTCGTTATTACTAGGTTTCTAAGTTGAAATTCATAATGCACAATCATTAACCCTCTTGAATTTATCACTTCTGTACTACTGCACATACAGTTCCCATTGAGCTTATTCAGTTTCTTCAGAATTGAACCACCAGGATAAGAGCTGCTTCATTAGTTAAACAGTTTATATAAGTAAACAAGCATACAACCAATAAAATAAGCCAAATTCTAAAAAGTAGAAAAATTCAAAATTTTGATAACCATAGCATTCCCGTTGGGTTGTTCAGCCATACAATAGTTTTTTAGTTAATTAGGATATAAAGTAGTGTATTGGAAAAGGAGGATTACATCATTTCAAATGTCAAAATGAAAGTTACGTGACAATCGAGAATTTAAAGGAAGATAATGAGATGGAACTAAATGTGTGAAAGTTAACTGTTCACTTGATTTATATGAGAAAGGTGAATAATAAATTGCTAATTTTGGTTACACAGTCTCATCTTATATATCCTTTAGAATCATCTAAACAGTCAAACGACTGCGTTTGATAGGATCATAAATCAACAAATTGTGTACTGAGGAAGAGTTAGTAATTCATTCTTTCAAGCCTCAGCTCTGTATTCAAAAGCGAAACGTGCAAGCTATCATTCTTTTGTAGCCCCAACACTTGATTTTCATGGTCGGTAATTTGGTTGTTAATACATTCGTTTGGTTTTTTAATTATTCTTTATTATCACTTACACGTTTATAACTTATCCTTCACCCGTTTATAATCGCTAAGGAGGGGACTAACTTTCACACATTTAGTTCCATCTCATTATTAAATTCTCGATTCTTAAGTAACTTTCGTTTTGATATCTGAAATGATGCGATCCTTCTATTTTTTAAGACACTACTTTATATGTTACTTAACAAAAACATATTTACATTACGAAATATAGAGATGTTAATTCCTATAAACTAACTTATATTTATATATGGCTTAATGCCTATAAAAGATAAACTGTGTATCTAGCTACTGTTTATTTTTGTGTGCTACGCCAATCAATTAACAAGTAGGGTATTCGTTGACCTTACGATATATTCATACTTTCACTATTACATGTACTACTACTTACGGTTTTTATTTTCCTAATTCTTTTCTTGGTGAGACTATAATTTATGGACGACCTTTGAGCGGTGCTAAAGTGATCTTGAGATTGTCTGCCTATTAACTAGGACTAAATGAGGGTTATAAAGCAGTGTGAGGAATTAGAATTAAGATTTACAGTTGATGGTTAGGGTTACAAACTACATTTAGGGTTTTCATCACGAACTGACATCAGTTAAAACGCCAAAACGCTGTTTAGTTAAATGGGTGGGTGAATTTCGCGCCTAAATCTAAGACCTGTTATCTTATATGTGAATGGTTCATCCATAAATTGTAGTTTTGCCTTGACATTACCTTATGAAAGGAACTGAGGTAACTTTACTATACATATTTAAGAACCATTAAATTAATTAGGTTACCATTTAAACACCGATCATTTTTATTTCACTCTGTATTTGTTTTGATCTTGTATGAAATACTAACCATAAAACTGTAATTATTATAAATGATCCCTAAAAACAAATAATGAGTCGGCAGATTGTGTACTTTTTTAATATAATTTAGAAAAAAAGGTGTGGACGTGTAAACTGTGAACAAGCAGCTGACCATTGTATGAAATTCAGAGATATTCATAGGTGATGTTTATAACGTCATTCATTTCATACTAGATGTATTAGTGAGTGCACGTGCATGCATACTGCGTCTTAGTGATTGGTATTTATACTTCTAAACTGACTTTGTGTAATACTGACAATATATATATGGTGGCTGTAATCAATCATTGTTATACAAAATCAAATGCATTACCTTTAACTTATTCGGCTATCGACGGACCTTCTATAAAACTGATATATTTACACAAATCGATCATTGAGTGGTGAACAATATAATACTTCTCTAATCCTTAGTGCTGACAGAATTCTGTCGTTATCATTCAATCTTAAAGAGTTAGGAGTAAAAGGCAGATAACTCTGAATCCAATTTTTACGCACATGATGTCGGTCAGTCAGCTACAACGTAGGACCAGGCACATTTATACATCGGTCGAAGTTGCCATACCTCATTAACACAACAAGATAAACACCGGATTCATAAAAGTAGTTAATCAAGTGATGGTAATATATAAAAGAAAGATTGCATATAAGGATATAGTACAGGAAGAAAGAATTAGTTCGTAGAAAGAAAGATATGAAGTGATTTTAGTCTCACAGTTTAAGGGAAGACAGAGAGTATATACATCTACGCCATCGTGATCGATTCTGAGTCATGTCACCCACAGTCTACAACCATTGGTTACGATGTTGAATTAGTTGGACTAGTGTTTAGTATATATGATTAATATAATCACTTCCTTTAGATTTTTTGAATCTACAAACTTTAATTTTCATGGAAAGGACTTTAAGCCAAGATGTATATGTAACATGTTTAGTGCGAATGAAAAAGATATTCATTTAATGATCAATAGGTCAGTGGAAATAGATCGAGTCTCAACCTCTAATCCCATAGGATACAATTACATTATAGACAGAATTAATCTAGAATCCTATGGTCTACATTGTTTCCAACTTCTAGTGAGAGATCATTACTGGTGGAGTTTAGCTATATCGGGGGAAGAGATATTCATCATTGATGGAACTCGGTAGGCTTTTTAATTTGAATTGACTGAAATCGAAAATGTGAACCAATGAATTTTTACTTAGTGATATTAAGATTAAGCGACTGTTGTGAGAGCTGAAGTTTGTTTGTTACTTCAAATCAGAAATTTATGTGGACAATTAAAAGTATTTTTAAAAAAACGCACGTAAAAAGTGAAATCTGAGAAGCCATAAATTTATCAGTATGCAGACGTCTAAATAGATAAAACTATCTTTAGTGAATAAATTAACTGAAAGTAATGATAAGTACATTCACTCATAATACTAATGTCAAAACACAATAATACCATTTTTTAATGCTCATAAACACACTATGTGCATGATAATTACTGACTATATTGAAATGTCAACACTTATTTCTACAAAACATCACATAATTTTGAAACAAGATTACAATGACCTAATGTAACAAAAATCAACGTAAAATAAACAAATCAATAACGGATTTTTCAAGAAACAGGACAGGGTCCATTTGAAATAAACTCGTAACTTAACGAAACAAATCAATATCAGGAATATATAAGTTAAATAATAATAATAATAATAATAATAATAATAATAATAATAATAATAATAATAATAATAATAATAATAATAATTGCTATTCATGATTCAATAACAACAAATTTCTAACTATAGTTATTAAATAAAGTTCGATTTTTATTGTTTTACAATTAACAGTTGATGTAAAAAATGAAGATAGATACAACCCATTGGTTTTTAGTCAACGACAATTACTTTTCATGATAATAATTCGATAGTAATCATATGACCACAGTTCACACTTAATCAATAGTTTTACGTATGTTACATGAATGTCCATGTTTATTCAGTTATCACGTTAAGGTTATAAGAGTGAACTAATTTCCCCGACCAATAATAAACAAAGTTTCATCAGTATTACTATTTTTTAAATAAATACAAAGTTTATATAAATAATGATTCCTCTGCGAATCAACTAACTGTTACTAAGAGGAACAGACAGGTAAGTAATAACTGTGGCATTTGAAAATAGTTGACATGTCATTTGGATATGAGTAGTTTGCTATGAATTGGTTACTGAGTTCTAGTGTATATCACATTTTCTAGTTTTCAGTCGAAACGAATTAGAAAAACTGATAAGCTAACTGAATTTAAGTTTTAATATTTAGAGGAGTGATAAAAAAATGGCAGATTTCGAAGAGAATTCATAAGTAAATATAATGCTACAAACAAATATTTTACCTCGAAGAGCTACGTTTCCTGAGGTAGGAGCAGGTTGGAATTAGGCTAAAGGCGATCAAACCAAAAAATAGCATTAGTTCATGAAGTTATTGCTTATCAGGTTGAGACAACCGAGTTAAAGTCCATGCAGTTATGGTGATCAGTGGTTAGGGAAATTGAGTGACATGGTTCAGAATTAGTCGCAATGAGTCAAGTGTACTTATTTTTCATCTTCTCTCCAACCCAAATTTTCAAAAGTATTGTTTACCTTTTGTTACATGAACTAATTCTTTCTTATTCAATTGTTTTCCTCATGTTTAATTTGTTTTAATACTACTGCTACTACTACTACGTTGTTATTCATTTTAACAATTCTATTTCACTGTACTGATGTAGTGCGTCCACATCGATGGATGCATATAATTAGTAAATTCTATATTACTTAAAGCTGAATCCTACAGAAATGTATTCACAAATCCCCATTAGAAGGTCAGACTGTGACGATATATTTGGAAAAAAATGTTTTAGTTCCTTTAAGATTGTAAATAAGTTATATTGACTACAATAAAAACGTAAGGAACACATTTTATATATTCATAAAATTGCTATCGAATGAGTAAATTTTTTTGGTTTAAACGCAATATATTGCGCAAGTTAGAAACGTCAAGGGATTTAAACTACATAATTATGAGTATTATGAAGTGATAACCAACATTAAATGATAATTTCCAAAGATTTAGTTCGCAAATCCTATGGTCAACATTTTTAATTAGAGAAATATCCTAAACATCATTTCATGCCATTATTAGTGGATAATTGTATCATCACTCTAACACTGATTAAACTTTGCAAATTCTCTTATATATCATGAAATTTGAAATAATTATTAAAGAAATTATTAACGAAATTTCTTTTCAACTAATCGAAAAGAAATTTCGTCGCTCAATTCGTTCCTTCTTCATTTACCAAATGTCAAAATAATTATTAATTTGTAGAATGCTTTAATACTTAACTCCTAGTTCTTAAGAACAATATTTCAACAGAAAGAAACTAACAACTACAGATTCACAACTGAATTCATAAAAAAAACCAAAGTAAAATTAAGCGTAATATTTGGAACACTGGTTTACCGATTAAATTGCTCGATTTTGTTAACTAGTAGGTTACAGTTTCTAAGCTCAAGCACAAATATGATTGGTTGAATAGGTGGCCTGCTTGAATATCTGGGCTACTTGATCCGGCCATCTAGATAATTAAACAAGTTATCTGCTTTTTGTTTGTTTTAACACATCATTATGCCTACTAATTGCATAACCTATTCATGCACGTTTATGAAAAGTTTACGATCATTCACTGTATAAGTTACAAAAAAATACAATCAGAGACATCGTGATGGCTGACAATATGCAATTAAAAGAGTGAACATTATTCAGATGTCAATTCGTGAACTGCTAACATCTAACTCATTCAGTATTTGTCAACAGGATCGATCAAGAAACAAGAAAAGAAAACTTGTTGAAATACTTTGTGCTGAGAATTCCATATTGTACCAAAAAATCTAATATTGAGTAAAACCAATAATTAATAATAATAATAATAATAATAATAATAATAATAATAATAATAAAAGTATGTAGCTAGTTAGATAGTAGGTGTCACTAACGCCTTAATGTAAACAATTTGTATTAGATCAATGAACTGCATTAACCTAATTATTATTTAGACGAAATACTACACCCTTTTAAATTATATAAACAACTAAGACTTTTCAAGACATAAATGAATGATAGATGAAAGAGTAACAAAATTAGGTCAAAAATTTTGTTAAATATTTTGTATTATGAACTTTATCGGAAGAGCATATATATATAATGTAACATTATATAACATATTTCGTTATCGTAATGTTGTTCTGATCACCCGTTTAACAAAGTTACACGAATACAATGATAAATAGACCTATCTGTCAATAATATCCACACAGTGAGTCGTTGGAAAAGACTGAATATGTCCGACAGGAAGTCGACGGTTATCAGTCTTATATTATTCATGCAGTCTTCATAACTTATACCAAGAAGTCTGATTCACTGGAAATAACTGTTTCTGTTAATGCACTATCTCCTTAAACAGCTTTAAACAATTTCAAATTTCCTCAGAGTTTTCCTCAAGTTTTAGATTAATCCATGTAGTTGTTGGACACAATGGACGAAACGTAACACAAATCTTATTAGGTCTAAAGTCTTTTAGGGATGCTAGGTCCCCGGAAATCACTCGGTAAAGTTTGTGCCAAAAGCGCCCATTATTACATTCAATTTGCTTCCCATGTGGAAGGACTTTAAATGTTATTGGTTGGTTTTCTCATTTAGTACGCTATTTTGTGACGCTTCTCAAGGACATTTCTGTATTGTATAAATTACGCATGAGTTGACTGTTTGCTATCCATTCTTCCGGGCTGCTTGAGGAATTATATAGTGACCCAACCGAGTCTGGTCTTCTTCCCCTAGTTAGCAGGGCTGGAACGCAGAGGAATATCTTAGCTTTGTTCTGTTATTGGGTCCCTGGTTTTGTTTCGTTCGCTGGTCAAAGGTGATATAATATCGCGAACATAACACAACCCAATTACCAGGTTTTCTTGAATCTTCTACGTATTATTAGAAAAGATAATGGTCTAAAAACTGAGTAACAGTGCGTAAGTTTAAACATTTCGTTAGTGTCGAACCTATGATGTGAATGTTATTGATTATGTCATTATAAAGACTATATCGTACAGAGTAGGAGTTAGTAAACTGACCAAACACACAAACATTTTAAGCTAATTGATTTTTAGACGAAAGATTTAAACATTTAGTGACAAGTATAACTTATTAGCACTACAGTATCTTTTTGAACGTACTTTAATACTTTTGATAAACAACCAGTTGACCACTCTAATTGTTTATTAATCCGCATCTTAGAGTTGTGCTGAACTACAGAATCCAGATTGTTGTGGTTATTGGATAAGGATTCCGGACATTTATCAAGCATGGAAGGTGGGATAATCGGTTTTTCTGACATTTGTTTTATATCCGTGTTGATAGGAGTTGAAGACAATTTCTTACGTGAATTAATTGGAACTGGCAATGAAAACCCAGGAAACACATCAGGCATCGGTTTGAATGGATGAATAAATGCATTGGCACCTTGTTGATGAGCCCAAACTAATATATGATTTGATGCACAATGTGGTATAAGTTGACGCCATATGCCATAGAGACGATCCTCTACAGAAATATTTGACTGAAATACAAGTGAAACTCGATTGAAATAAAAATGGAAAGTAATGTGAATTGTCAGTCATATATACTAAATTTTAAGCTGTTTGATTTCTTTCTCGATCGCTGCTTAATGTAAGAAATGTCTCATTAATGTTGGAATTCTCAACATTAGTTTACTCGCGTGCCAAAAAGGGACCACATAGTACAATCTAAGTAATTTGTTAAGGTTAACTACTGTTTGGGTTATATTAATGACAATATGTAAATTTAACAAAAATTATTTGAATTTTTTTAACAATGACCGACTGACATATAGTTATTCTAATCCAATTCATTAGAGTTAATATTAAAAAATATTCTCGCTTTAATTGGTAAAATTTTCTTATCATCTCTTAGCTACCCTAAGTATGACAAAATATTTTCGTGTTATATCACTGCCTATTAATCAAGGTTCTTATAATGTTAAAAAAGGAAAAAGAAATCATGGTACCACATCGAATGGATGAATATTCTTAAGACAACAAGTTGAAGAAGATGATGATAAACAATGCAGGCTTTTTTCTTTCTGTAGTGAACAACGATAGGGTAGGTAGACCGAAAGAATACGCACGTAAAAAGTATGTAAACATTGAAAAAAATAGACGATATGAAAAGGACTTTATTTTACTGAACATTACCGTTCCAGCAAAGAAATACATCATGATAATTTTGACAAGTAAATGGTGATAAAATAATGGAAGATAAACAATTTAAACTATTATTTTTTACCATAAATGGGTAGAACTATACTAATTGTATAATGAGACTTTTATACAAATAAGTGATAATCAAATTGAATTCATGAATTCAACTGACTCATGATCTCAACTATTGAAATTACTATAACATACACAAAACCCCTTCTGATACTAATCAAAATATGCTCACTAGTGACTGGCTTCAAGAGGTATTTACTGGAGTTCTACTGAGAAGCGATGACTAGTGGAGTTCAACCGGGTCTGTTGTGAGATAGTAACTCACTGAAGACAATGGTGGATGTGTCGCTCAATTTCGTGGATTAATTGAAGTTAGTAGTTAAGTGCTCTCGCTCAAGACTGATAGGTCTACTAAATGTTAGATTCAGCCAACCACTCAATCAAATCCCCTACACAATTCCTGGACCAAATTAAGGACATCCAAATAAACGACGAACTGATGATATCCTTCGACGTGACAGCACTATTCACCTCAATTGAACCAAAATTAGCAAAAGAAACTATATCCCTGCCGCTCAACAACGACACAAACCTCACTAAATACACGAAGCTTCAAATTCAAAGTCTACAGGAACTCATCAATTTATGCCTAACAACATACTTTCGATTCAACAACAAAATCTACGAACAAACGAAAGGGACACCAATGGGATCGCCAATATCAGGATTGATCGCAGAGGCAGTGATGCAAAGACTAGAAGCCGCTATATTACCAGTGATCAAACCAAAAATTTGGATTCGCTATGTAGACGACACCTTCGTCATTGTCAAAAAGAATGAACTAGAAAAAACACTTACAACCTGATCAACAACGTCTTCGATGACATCAAGTTCACCATGGAACAGGAGTCAAACAACCAACTAGCATTCTTGAATATATTGATCACTAGAACCGACACAGGAAAACTGGAAACTCAAGTATATAGGAAACCGACCCATACGGATCAAATTCTCAACTACAATAGCAACAACCCCAGAGCTCACAAAATCAACTGCGTACACAATTTGTTCAAGAGGGCGAGGACACACTGCAGCACACTGGCAGCCCGAAGAAATGAAGAGAAATACCTAAAGGATGTATTTCAGAAGAACGGCTACCCCATCAACTTCATCAAAAAATACCAACCGCACGCAGCAATAGGACTCAAGTCAAGCACAAAAATCAACAAAAGGATCACCCTACCATATATACAAGGAATATCAGAAACCGCGACGAGACTGCTGAAAACCTTCGGAATAGGTGTGGCACACAAACCGACAAAATCACTACAATCAATCTTATGCAAACCAAAAGATGAAATAACAAAGGAAAACAAATCAAACATCATCTACAAAATAAATTGTGCCAACTGCGAAAAACACTACATCGGACAAAGCGGACGCCCCCTTCACCTTCGCCTACATGAACATCAACTAGCAGTCAAACGGCATGATATCTCTTCACTTATATCAATACACGTGGACAACTGCGGACACTCATTCGATTGGAAAAATGTGGAAATCTTAGACAGAGGAAACTCCAAAAACACCAGAGAATTTTTAGAAGCCTGGCACTCAGGTCAATCAGCAATCAACAAGCATATTGAAATCAATCCAATTTATCAACCAATCAGAAAAATCATGCACAAACATAGGAACAAAAATCAAAACAATGGGAGACACAACCAAAACAAAGAAGTAAACAACGACAAATTTAAGGTCAATAAGAACCAATCAACGTCGAGGTACACAGAACAAGCTTTGAGACACATATGGAGAAATTCAAACACTTCACTTCTATCTGAAGTTTGTGCTGATGATGTCGTTCAGAAGAACGATGAAAGCTCCACGACCAAACCATCCAGCTCAGAGAACAAAACTCCACCAAAATCATCCACCTGAGCTACAAATCTTCTCCACCTGAGTGATGTCCTGGACGCACACTGCTCAGTGGTTCCATACTCATACAAAACAGCTGTCCCATACTTTCTAGTTTCAACGGCCGTACAAACATAGTCAGTCCCTGATGTTGTAATTTTTGTTTATTTTTTCCTGGATCTTTTTAAATCACGTCATTAAAATCAATGACAGAAGAGATAGTAATTGAAAAACTACTGGTCAATGCAGTTTTATTTGGATTTGCGATGCCTAAGTAGTACATACCTACATCAATACATATGAAGACACGTAATCCAACATAAAGCCATTATTAGTGGAAAACATAAACCTTCCACCTAGTCAGTGTAACAGAATCCAATAGTGCATATTCATAGCTTTAGTCAACACTTGTGACACAGTCAGAGGATTACATCCTAATGTCATAGATGAACTGACATTACAGGTCATGATGGTAATTAGCTATTCAAGAAGTCTATCAATGATAAACAGATTAATATTTCGAAAAATGACCAGGTTAAGGGCAAAGTGCATCGTTTAAAGCATGTGAATTTAGGATTGTCAAACTAAATAGAATAAATAATAAATAAGAACTTTCGTTTAAATTTGAACGAATAGTTTCACAATATTTGGGCGCCGACTCAATGTGAGACATTAAAGAGGAAGAATGTATTTGTAAAATCTCAGCGAAAGAATTTGAAGTAAATCCAACGTTTCGCTTGGCAATCTGGTCTAAGCTTTTTCAAGGAAAATATATTTGTTGATATGACTCATAGAATCAGCTTATATGTTAAGTGAAAATTTAAGATTCATAATCATAATAAATATGGGTCAGATAGGGTGAGAGAAATAATCGTGCAAATACAGTTCAATCAAATGTTTAGTAGAAGACTATATTGCGTGTGAAATTAGTAATAATAATACTGATAATAAACTTATGATATACATGGTGACGGTGAGGTTAAATAAACAAAGGTATTAGAAAAAATTTTTTTTTAAAAACAAGGAAAGTTTGGTAGATAATGGCTTAGATATTCATCGGGTAAGAGTAGCTCAGCATGATAAAATAACATAAAATGTTGAAACAGAGATGAAATGTAATCGGAATGATCGTTGAAATAAAAACAAACCGGTTGGGGGTACAAGATTTGAAGGGAAGATGGAAGGTGAAGCAGGTGGCTGTAAAAGAACAAGAGTAATGAGAAAGAGAAAAAAAAATTTTAATACATTAAGACCACGGTAAAAGAAGAGGTTGTACTAGTCTCTTTTGTACACATAATTCTGGTTTTTCAAAATGTATGGCTATTGCCTCGGCAATGCAAAGGAGATGTAGTCTAATTGTCTTAGGAAGGTTTCTACTTACCTTGTAGATGACTTTGAACGCAGAGTCTGTCTTGATTGAGTGACCTGTGTTCACAAGGTGTTCGATTATAGAACTTCTTATTGAACCGCTGCCTCCTCTTCTTAGCCACGCCGGACAATGTTCTTGAATTCTTTTGGATAAAGTACGCATCGAACGACCTATATACCTAGCTCCACAAGAGCAGGTAAATTGGTAAATGCACATTGAATTGGTCAGATGCGATAATTTATCTTTCAGATTATTGGCGAACAGTGATCGGCTGGAGAATAATATTCGCAATGTTGCTGCGAAAAATGTTCTTTTTAAAGAATCTGAAATTCTCCTCTTTAAGATATGTGCGGCTCTATCGCCTTTGAAGTCGATGTTCATGTATAAAATTTTCTTTTCTACTGCAGTGGTTTGTGGTCTTGGCATTTTCGGTTTCATGTTCTTATCAATGAATATAGAAGGATATCCGTTTTTGATAAGTATCTCTTTTAAAAAACTCAATTCTTCCTCTACGACCTCAGGGCTACAGATTCTTCGTATTCTTGTGGCGAGAGTGATTACTAAGTTTCTTTTTCGGCTGAATATCTAAGCCATTATCTATCAAACTTTCCTTGTTTTTAAAAAATTTTTTCTAATACCTTTGTTTATTTAACCTCACCGTCACCATGAAATTAGTAAGACACGATAAGGTGGGATGAATGCGAAGTAAATGAATCATGTATTGTGCAGATTAATAATGTTTAACCAATGATTAATAATAATAATAATAATAATAATAATAATAATAATAATAATAATAATAATAATAATAATAATAAGAAGAAGAAGAAGAAGAAGAAGAAGAAGAAGAAGAAGAATACATATTAGTCTTTACTAAGTGTTTACATGAAATTTAAGAAAAAACGGTAGAAGTTCAACGGATGGCGTTTAACTTTAAACTACAAGGTTGCAGCTTTGAGTGCTGTCCCACTTTGATTTGGGCAATCGAGTAGTATCAATAACCTTTACATATAAATTGTGGTTCAGAACCAAGTACACAAGTTTCTGCTTGACAGACGGGTAGCATTCTACTTACAATCCAACAACAGACCCCTTGAATTAGTGAACGTAATTCAATGAAGATTATTTTTTACAACTGATTCTATCGAACAGTATTTATTTATTTTAACACATAGATATTGGTACAAGGAAGCACCAAATACATATGCGCCACACAAATCTCATTTGATATGTGTGAGGGCTGTGATACTGCCCGGGTGCCCAAACCGAAGCAGGTGGTTTTATTAGGGGGCCACTCCTCGAGCCTTCGACCTGAACGTCTGATCCACAAGGCAGTGGAGCATCGTGAGGAGATGCAGTCCCATGGCAGTCGGTGACCAACAATTAGTCCATACGCCATTTGTTCCCGCAGGATACTGGAGCCCATGTGCACCATTGGTTTGGAATCCAGTTAAAGCGCCGGACATTCGCTTTTCGTCCTCTTATTTTCGTAAACAACACCCTCGCCACGAGAAGGCAGTGAGTAGGACTTCCCTGACAGAGGCTATATACGCGTGGCCATGTGAGAGCATTTCGATAGGGAGAGCGGACTCTCCCCACTCTCGGCCGTACCAGGGCATTGGGGGCATCGCACAGTAAGATAAAATTGAACTTATAACTGTAAGAAACGTATTTAAAATGTGTGGGATTTTTGAACAAGTTTCTAATAATACGATAATAAGACTATAGCTTAACCTTTTACAATGTAGCATGAATAAAGATCACATCATTTGGTGACTTTAACCAAACAATCACTTAAAATAGAGAAAAGCACCATTAGTAAAAATCACACCATCAAGCATACCACTATTGGATCATTGTTTAATGAACGACCCTTTGGAAAATTTCGGTCTTTATCTTCAATGGAGTATGATGGTATATCAGATGTTGTTGGTAGTGTCGTTGTTGTTGATGCTGTTGGCATTGATGTTACGGGAAAATGACAGATGATTGAAGATTTTTTAACAGCAGTAATATTATTTCCGGAATTTATCACGCAAGTTGAATTTTCAACAAATGATTGACAGTTAGATGAGTTAAGTGAATTCATATCATCTGAAACAATATTTCTACCTTGTGGAACCTATAATTTTAATGAGTAAACATAAAGGGAATTATTTCTTTATCCCATCGTTGATAATGATATGATAGTGAATGATGAATACTTATATAATGACATACCTTTTTATCATAGACTGATGTCAGGCAGTGAAGACCAATGAAAACCAGAGATACCTGTTTCATCCTAGTATGGAATTCCTTAGGAAAGTATACCCACGAACCCCCCAATGATTGGAATCATGACCTTCAGATCTCAAGGCGAGGTCTCTGCCTTTAAACCGTTGAGTTAGAATCCATAATAGTCCCCATTTACAGTCTCGATTAATTTACTACATAGTGCGATCGTCCTCTGGTGTCATTAACAATTCACCAACTGATGTCATTCCGTGATCGCAAGACTTTCCGCACAATCCGCCCAACTAAATGTTTATCCGTAAAATTTATTTCCATTAGTAGGATGTTAAAAGAAATACGTTATACTTCAAGTAGATAATGGATTAAAAGTTTAATGGTCAAATCCATATATCATACAATTAACAGTAACATATACTGTATTATCAAAAACATAATAAGGAAAACCACATATAAAAACAGATAGTTAAAAAGAAAGTGTAAGTTTCTTTGTACACAGTGATGACAATCATGACATTCTTGAAGACCAAGTAGTGAAGATCGTATTTGAAAACAGAGAATTATATAAAGACGACAAATCAATTGATGTGATCAGATCGTGTGGGAGGCGAATTCGTAAACATACCTGTAGTGAACGAGAACTCAGATGAGGAAGACCAGTTTATTGTTTGATGCAAAATTACAGTACTTTCGTAAAATATGAAAACCATACTTTAAATACATTGTTTGCACATCTTCCTTCAGTTGTCCTTTACATGCATCCTGATTTCTTCAAATCCGTTATTACTACTAATCTCTGTTTGAATTCCTGTTCTCTTCAATTCGATCTTCGCAAACTTCTCCCAGGTCTTCCACTTCTGATTGGTGTTACATACTACTTATATCTGTCAACATAAGTAGAACACATCATATATATATTCTTGAGTTTTAATTGGTATCAGTGGTGAACAGGTCCTCGTCTCCCCTCATATCTCGAAAAAACAATGTCTCACTTTTTACTAAAGCTCTTTACTTTGGGAATTTGTTGTAATTGTCTATAAAGTTTTTAAAATCACTTCTTAATAATCCAATTTACTTTTACTTCCTTTCAATGTCGCCTTGACTTGATACTATGAAAGCTTAATTAATTAGATTCATTAGAAAAAAGGTTAGCATAAAACATAAAATATTATTCCTTCCCCACCTCAAGTAGTTAAATCAAGGAATACTAACTAACTAAACGAAATGGACATTCTAAATTATATAAATCCAGTAGAAATATCAATTATAAGAAACATAGCCCATGAGCGATCGACTTCTCTAACACGTGAATCAATTTTTCGCATATATATTAACAAAAAAACAGAATAATTTAGAAATACCTGAAACAAATACTGGAAAAGCAAAGTTATTAATCAACTGGTAAAACTTATTATTGAGCTTGATAAACATTTTCATTGTTTTTTCGATACAAAAAACGCACAATAATTAATGTAAATATCTGTTAACTATGTAAATCATTTGTAAATAGTATTCGTCACAGACTGATCATTGATAATCGGGTATTACATGATGACTGTCTAGTTCTAGTAACTTCTCAGGAGTATATATCTACGACCACATAGGGGGTCAGACTTAGAATCCTAAGCCCTCACAGAGAACGCTTAACCCGCAGAACCACTAGGTCGACAAAGCACGACCAACATTAGGGACAAACGTTAAACTTCTGAAATATCTGAACTTTACAGGTTACAACTTCTGACTCAAACTTCAAGAAAGCCTTGAAGGAAATCGCTAGTGAATTGCCCATTACAGTTTATTCGAAGGAGGTTAGTGGAAACATGTTTAATTTGTAAGTAGTATTTGTCAAATATTGATTTTATTTGTTAACGAGTGTCACTACCTCTACTAGTCTGGTATTTTCTCTAACAGTTCCATGTCGCTATGCTAATGAGGTATGATAACTTGAAAAGATGTACATGTACCAGATCCTACACGGCGATTGAATGACTGACTGTTAACGAGTCCCGTACTAAGATGAAACAATTTTTCAGTGTTATCTGGTTCTAAATGGTACTTCAAAAGAGACTAATCTGTGGCGAATACTTCCAACAAACTGAATAGATCACCAAAAAACCCTTATAGATCAACTAAGTAGGTAAGTCCAGAAAATTTTATATCCTTTTGTTGATTTTCGCACACAAGGCAAGAAAAAATAACAAAAGAGGAAGATAGCATGTATTTAAATAATTGATTTCACAGTTGTTTAATAATCTTGTAAATTGGTTTTACGTTAGTACAAGACAGGTATAAAACACATTCCCATAAAGAAAACACAAAATCCACTGAAGATCCATAGAAAATGACGAGATATTATACTGACAAGTGTCGAAAATTTTCCATGAGATCAACTCACATATATATTTCGCGAGAAGTTGATCTACATGGTGACGATTATATTTCTGACATAATATCGTAAGTAAATCAAGTGTTTTGTGTATTAAATCCTCGATTTAATGGCTCAGGTAAAGCATCGGATTGATACCGTACGGTACTATCAAGCGCTAAAGAGCGAGTTACCATGATATAGAATGGAAAGTTGAAATCTGGTTAGTGTTTTTAACTTTTCCGATAATGTTTCACTGATTATAGCTTTCAAGAACTAAATTCCCATTATGCAAAATAAAAAGATGAAAAAGGTTTTCCTTACATTTCAAAATGAGATAATCGACCGGTCAATTTAATCAGAACATAGAGGAAAAAAATTCTTACGTCGGTGGATTTGATGAATGAAGTTCGCTCTGTTGAAACTCTACTCTTAAATAACGAAATAGATATTGAAAATCAAGAATTCAAAATATGTTGACAAAATTTTATATAGATGTAAGAAGAAAGTATGTATCGCGAAGGATACAAACCTAGGTTCAAGTTGACTGAAAAACGATTTCTTGTTTGTATAGTTCTCTAGTGCCGATCGAATTTTATCGATCAAGATGTTATATAGTCACAGATCTAATTAATTCGATATTGAGTGAACTGTCCTTTGGTATATGGTGGTAGTTGAAAGGGATCAACAAGAAACATTAAACCAAGGTTTCCTGCAAATCATGGCTGGTCTTTAATTTGAAATCTTAAGGGGAATGCCCCTCCCGACAGTCACCAGCTACCTAAGATAATGTAGCTACTTTGAAATTCTTTGGAAACTTTGTCGCTTATCAGGAAGTATAACAAAGCATATTATCACATACCTAATCTAATGCGCCCACTTAAACGGTTACACTATCAAATTATCTTAGTGAACTAAGGTCATTAAAATTTTGATTCAGCAAAAAGTATTGTAGATAGAAAATATATTTAGACTAGTAATTTTGTAGTTTTTTTTTAAATATAAGCGAGAATGACATATTATTCGATTATACAGAACATTTAAGTTTAGAGTCGTTTTATGTCTGTTATTTTATGAAGACAGTAAAAATGTCTGCTTTAGTTGTTATAATTATTGTATGTAAAAAGTACCTTGAGTTAAAAGTTGCCGCAATATCCATTGAATTAATACGAAATGAAGGAAGAATACATTGTATGCTGTACGGAAAAATGTGTCACACATAAAAGGTACAATACTCAATTAGAAGAATAAGCAGAGCACAGAAATTTCTCTCCAATTAGTCTTTCATTGTGGCTCTACATATATATATATAACAATGAAGTGATGCTCATCGAGTAGATCATATATAAGTATATTAGTGTAGAACCGTGATGACAAACTAATTGGAAAGAAGTTTTTCTCGTTCTATTCATTCTTTTTACTGTGTCAAAGTGGGAACTTTCACTAATCAGATAAGAATAGACAAATACATAACTATTGTAACTTGTCTTAATCATGAGACTTTCACTATTTAATCCACAGATTTTTAAAATTTCTAGATAAAACTTTATATGGGTCATAGTTGATCAATCATCTATCAGGAAGCTGAATTAAATTCTAGTCATGTCTCCCTTAAGTGATTTTAATTTCGAAATTTTTTGGAATTAAACTGTCAAATATATACTATAAAGCGATTAGTGTAAAATCACTAAATGATGATTAAAATACTCACCTGTATCAAATTCTTAAGAGCGATACTATTAGATGGAACTAAAAACACATGTTTTTGTGACTGTGATTCGTAGTTCAGTGAATGAGTAGCATTTAACATTGAGGATGATGAAGGTGCGTTAACTGTCGAACCAACAGATTTTACATGCGTATTCAACGTCAAATCAGTAGTCGATGAAGTTAAACAAGTTTCATTCGTCGAACAAATTGAATTCACGCAGCAAACAGGTGTTTTCTGTAGGTTAGAATTTGTTCGCATAGTTGAACTGGATGTAGAATTCGATCCAGTGAGTAAACATGATAAAGCTGATGATGATGACGGTGTTCTTGTCAAACACGATCGAAATAACTGTTTGGATTCTTGTTCAGTAGATGATTTACATGGTACAAAGAGTATTGGATTTTCTAAACTTTTTAAGAACAAAAAATTCCATAAAATATACAAGGAAATATATGAATGTGGCCAACGTATGGAGAAACTGTCTGGTATTTTGCTCAAACATAAAAGGTGTAGCTTGATTAGGATTTCATTAACTTAATTTTCGGGCGAAAGAGTATTCAGTAAAACAATGACAAGAAAAAACTATGTACTTCAAAGAACAAAATAAACAATAAAGCATAGAATTTAAAATGGACGTTCTACACAAGGTATCGTTTTACTGGAAAGACAAATATCAATTTCAAGCTAGGTGGTCATAGAAAAGAAAAAGAATGTAGATATGTTTATTTTATTGTTTGAAATTACAGAATGACTTGGTCAGATAACCAATGAAAACCAGGAATCGCTAGAAAGCTGTTTCGTTCAGATATGGGACTCCTCAGAGGTGCGAATCTATGACTCTACCAGGAGTAGAGAAGAATGAAGGTTTTCAGGTGTGAGTAGCTGATTCTCTGATAATTCATAAGTATTTAATTTGCACCTCATTCTAACGAACTAATCATAATTCAAACAATAATTTAAAGAATTTCTTTGACATGAGTCGTATTTATGGAGCTCAAAAGATATTCAAAATAAAGATGAAGATTTGGTTACAATAGGATTTTGAGAATGGCAACTAACTAAATGAAATAGGCCAAAAGCCTGACAGATGAAATGGTCTACCTTCTTCACAGATTCGAATACTCACTGCACTTGAACTGATGAACTTATGTTTATGTTCCGGTAAAAAAAATAGTTAGTATTGGATTTTAAGAAGCAGAAAGATGACTTAGAAAACATAAGTTAGATAATAATCTTCAATCAGGAAAAAACCGGATAAATTTGACACCTTTGTTATAGTGTCTATAACTTATGCAACTGATAAAAAATGATCATGTATACATCGGATTCTTTAGTAATACAAAAGTGACAATAACTTTATTTCGACAAATACAGTTTTTAACGTACCTTGAATCGAAAGCAACTGGATGGTGAGATTTGCTGTCAAGCGCAGGTAATATTAACTTATTTGAATGATCAGGTAAAGTAAGATAGATTGGTACATCATGATTATTGCCATGAACAGGTGACTTAAGATTATGATCAATACGTACACATTCTGTAACATTGAATAATGGACAAGAAGGATTAGGAAATTTTTCCATAGCATCCATTTCTGCTTCACTTGGGACATGTTCGTTTGCATTGATAATAGCTATTGCATAACCTTGTTCATGTGCTTTTTTGACTAAAGATATTTGACTGCCAGACTGTAGACCATGTTGAGGATGTAATAGAAGACGAGGAGCCCAAACGCCAGCCTGAGCAATCCCACCCCCTTGTAACAAAATAATGATGGGACCTTTGTGGGTAAAAAAATTTTTAGAATGTAAAACTCTCATACAGTGAGTAGGATGTCCAGGAATCTGTTGAATTTTTTAAAAGAAAAATAGAATAATTATAAAAAGGTAGTTAATGGGATAGACTACTTATAAGTAACCAAAAATTTATTGCACAATTTTATTGGTTGTAAACTAGCAACGTGATTCTGATGATGCGATTATATTGAACTACGTATCTTTTGTTCCTCTATGTGTTTTATATTGACTATAGTTGCTGGTATTATTATAAGTATCTCCTAACAGTTTGCAACCTAAGCTGAATCATAGTTTATAAAAATCCATTTACTGAATCAAATCTTCGTGGTTGAATATTTTATTTTTATTTATTTATTTCAACACAGATAATTATACAAGGAGGCACCAAATACATATGCGCCACACAAATCTCATTTGATATGTGTGAGGGCTGTGATACTGCCCGGGTGCCCAAACCGAAGCAGGTGGTTTTATTAGGGGGCCACTCCTCGAGCCTTCGACCTGAACGTCTGATCCACAAGGCAGTGGAGCATCGTGAGGAGATGCAGTCCCATGGCAGTCGGTGACCAACAATTAGTCCATACGCCATTTGTTCCCGCAGGATACTGGAGCCCATGTGCACCATTGGTTTGGAATCCAGTTAAAGCGCCGGACATTCGCTTTTCGTCCTCTTATTTTCGTAAACAACACCCTCGCCACGAGAAGGCAGTGAGTAGGACTTCCCTGACAGAGGCTATATACGCGTGGCCATGTGAGAGCATTTCGATAGGGAGAGCGGACTCTCCCCACTCTCGGCCATACCAGGGCATTTGGGGGCTGTGGTTGAATAACATAAATGATAAACTTGTGTAAAGGGTTACATTACTTACATACGCCTGTTACACCACGTAGAACGTAGGCCGCCTATAGGGATTCTAAAGTCTGCTTTATCCTGGGCTTTCTTTACCAGTAGTTGCTAAATTCTACTCGTTATTTTGATGTCTTCCAATTTGCAGTGCAATTTGTTGTTCTTTCTGTCTCTTTAACTTTTGCCTTCAGGATTCCAAGTTACGACTACCCTCTCAATGCAGTTTGACGATTTCCACAATGTGTCCTATCAAAATCCAGCACCTTTTACTAATTTCCTCTTCAGGTAAAAGCTGGTTTGTTCTCTGCTAGAGTCAACTATTACTGATAGTGTCTGGCCAACGGATGTCGAGTGGAAAGCTATTTATAAATACCTGTACACTTAGGGAGTTGGTTGTAACAGTTCTCCAATTTTCAGCTCCTCACAACAGGACTGTCTCGACATGGGCATGGAAAGTTCTGACTTTGATTTTGGTTGAAAGTTGTTTTGAGTTCCACATATTCTTCAACCATAGGAATGCTTCCCTTGCTTTGCTAATCCTTGCCTTTACGTCTGCATCGGATCCTTCTTTTTCATAGATAATGCTGTCCAGGTACGTGAAATTTTCCACCCCTTCCGGAGTTTTTCCGTCAAGTGTGACTGCGTTGCTGTTTTCGGGTTGTATTTGAGGATCTTGCTTTTTCCTTTATATATGTTGAGGCTTACTGATACAGAGGTTTCTGCTACACTGGTTATCCTGACCTGCATTTGTCCGTGTGTATGGGACGCAATAGCCAGTTCACCTGCGAAGTCTAAATCGTCTAGTTGCATTCAAGCTGTCGGTTGTATTTTGCGCTTCCCCTAAGATGTGGAGATCTTCATAATTCAGGTTTATATTATTCGAATAAAAATAAGATAATACCTCTGAGGGCGATACTTAGGCCATCATTTAGCACACTAACGCAGTAACGTATCTAATAAGATAGCTTAAAGAATAGATTGTAAAAACTATTTTCAAAATGCCATTTACCTGGTTATATTTTATTCTCTAGTTTAGACTAACTATGAACTTTACTGCTGCAAATGTTAGATGAATATTTAACAAATGATTTCAATCATCACGAGAAAACTACCAAATACAATTCTATGACTAATATCAATATATCTAACGTAATAATTCGACTAGACAAAACCAGAGCTCTGAAAACTCTGATAATTAAATGTTATCATTATTCCCATGTCTTTTATATCTTATTTTTATAATCTAGATCAAAACAGTAAATTTGAGTACGGTTTTACTTTGTATAATACATCCATTCAATTGTTTATAAAAATCGCATAAATACTGCGAGTTAATAATTGTAAATTTATCATATACCAATTCTTTAGAACTTGATTTATTGAGTTATGATGGAAAAATAAGATATTACTGATTTTTTCCATACATAATGAAATAAAATTTATATAATCCAACCATACATAAACTATGTAGTTATTTTAGAATAATCTTACCGGAACTTGACTTGATTCCATATTTAAAGTAAATAGCCGTTGACGAATTAAACGTGTACAAATCTAGATACAAAATAGATAATTTCACTTTAAACTATTGTTTCTTACGTTAAAAAGTCTAAAGTTTATTAAAAAGATTCTACCTAGGCTAAATAAATAAGTCTAGTAAACATTAATACGATAGTGTACTTTCAAAAATGTGGATTTTTATTTTCTCGATTCTAAATATATTTCAATTAGAAACGTTTTTCAATAGATTAATAATTTTATGAACAGAATGCAAAATGGTCGAGCTATATTCTAAAGAAAGGAAATAAAGTTTCTTGAATTTCCTAACACTGTTTTTCATTCACAGAATATATTTGAAAAAAACTTAATCATACAGTTAGAGTAAGAAATGGAAAGAAAGCTCTCCAGTAACTAAACAAACTTTATAATGTAAAATTAAGTGATAATCAAGAGAATCATTATTATCCTTTTAAAATTATTTCCAATTTATTTTCAAGAATTCACATGTGTACAGAATGTTAAATTTTATTTTACACAATTTAACTTGACAACGAAGTAAGGTTTTTACAAGTTTTTTTTATGAAGCATACTCACAAACATGATGTGTGTATTCATAACCTCACTCATGGTCGATGGGATTCGATCTGCACTAAGAAGGACCTTGCATACATGACATTGATTACCACCCATTGATCAATTAATTGTAAATTATTCCATTTATTTACAAATTGACATCGAGTGAAAATAAGGAAGATAATTGATTAATTTTAAGTATGAATTATATACACGGATAATGAGTTCGTATATATAACCTGAGTAATAATTAAAATCCAAAGCCAAAATATCAAACTTTTCTGGTGGTACAGTAAATTAACGGAAAGTGCAAATTACTGATAATTTATAAATAGTAAACCATAGCATAAAAATCAACAGCCAAGTATAGAGTGACGCAAAGAAATTATCTATGGATAGTTGATATATGACAAGAAACTATTTATATATGTAACTTTTCAAATAATCTACTTTATTTGAATCGATGGGACTTGCAACAAGATAAGAGAGAAAAGCGACAGTATTTAAATAATAATTTGAGGTATCGTTGAGAATTAGCCACTTAGAACTCCAGATCAAACTTTGGGCATGAAGTTCAAAAACTTTCAAATCCATAATTTAAAATTCTTTCTTAGCTGATACTAGCGGAGATTTTGGCAAGTGCAGAAGTATATAAGTGTGACAGTACATAATTTTAAATAAATAACTTGTATTTAGAATGTAATTTACGAAACAAACAGAACAGGCACTTTTACAGTTGTCAATTGTAAATTGGTGTATTTTGTTTTACAAATTGCACTTTTACTACCAAAGCTAATGATATTACATTATTATATGAAGAAAAGAATTTAAACCTGCAGCCTAATAACGTTAAGCTGATTCTTTAAGGTCACTAGGCCACTTTTGTGGAAATAAATGGAACGGGGAAAAATGGGTGATCCTTAAAATACTTAAATTTAGTAAACTTACTGCACGAATAATTTCTTGTCTTTTAAGTGAAGGGCCTGTTGAAGTTACCTTTACACAGAATGTGTCTCCTGTTTGAATATGACGAAGAATACCTTCTGGAATATAATTATTAGGACATTAAGTTTACAGCATGCGAGAGTTGATAAAATAATTCAAGAATAGATTTCAGGGAAATAAAACTAGCTAGGATATTCTCTAAACAATTCTAGATATTTGGCTTACAGTAAACAAAACGGGGAAAAATTTACAGCTTAAATCAATAACTAATGGAAGAGTGTTATAGAAATCTAGTAGATACGAAATATTTCAGTTTGTATGAATTAGTAATACATAGATTTTAGTAATCCATAGTTTTTTTTCTTTTAATTAATCATGATTACTATACTTGTTTTGTGTAGTTATTGATTTAATTACTTATTTATAGCATTTAAACTGAACTCTTGCTCTTCAGCTGGACTTCTTTTCTAAAATATCTCATTTGCATGATTAACGAATTCTATATAAAATCAGTAAGACTTTAACACACTATACATAGGTATATTCAATTAGAAATAAACATTATGTAGATGGTTAGCAAACTTCAAGACAAAATAACGAAATATAAAGACGATGAATTTTTTGTTGGACAAATTTTGTCTACATATAAATCTGAATGGAAAGGTTGGTTGATTAGTTTGATTTATATCAGACTACTCATACTACATGGTAGTACTTTTTTAAATAGTCTAGAATGTCATACAGATCATTTGATAAAGATTTTGATATCGTATGCGCTGGGTAGTTTGTGAATAATTTATAAGTTGTTTATGTAACCTATGATGATATACCAGCATGTTTTCCCTTGTTATTTAAAGTCATTAGGTTTTCTCGGCCACATATGAAGCCGACTCTAAACAATTGAAGTCAATTTAACCGATGTTCGATGGCTTCCATTTGACTGACATAACATGACGGTAATTCATATATGTGATATTCAGAAATTATTATCAGCCAGTAGTAGGATCAAAGAAATCTTATGCAGGTTTACTGATATATGGGGGAAGACTTTAAGTGATTAGAATGCGGGTGACCTACAACACTTTCTCCAAGTCCCAAGGATATATAATCACGTGGTGGACATCACTTGATTATCTCATGTCATGGTATTTTGTTTATCGATGGTCACTCATTAACAACGTAGGACCAGGCACATATATGCATCGGTTCACGTGACCACACCTCATTAGCACAACAAGATGAAAGTCAAGTTCATATAACCAGCTACTTCAATGGTAGTAATATATATTTTAAAAAAGATTGCATATAAGGATATAGTACAGGAAGAAAGAATTAGTTCATAGAAAGAAAGATATGAAGTGATTTTAATCTCTTAGTTTAAGGGACGGCAGAGAGTGTATACACCAATACCACTGTGATCGATTCTGAGCCGTTCCACCCAGAGTCTCTAACCATTGGTTACGATAGTCGCGCGAACCCCAACCAAGTAGTCTGCATCTAACAACATGACTGAGACTAGAAGTTAGTGGCTTCAAATACTGATGCCACGTTTTGGTTTGGCCGCCCCGAACTTTCTTCCATCCTTCTCCAACACTAGTCAGCATTAAGCATCGTGGTAGTCGGTGTTCGGGCATACGTAACACGTGACCCAACCATCTCAGTCTATGAAGATTCACAACGTCATCAACTGATTTACCATCATTCCCTAATACCCTGCGTCTAACCTCACTATTATTTACCCGGTGATCCCACTAGACGCCAGCAATATTTCTAAGGCATCTGTGGTCGAATACTAGTAGTTTACGAGTATCTTCTACTCTTAATAGCCATGTTTCGCTGCCGTAAATTAAAACAGAACGGACTGCCGCGCAGTACACTCGTCCTTTTATTGATAGACGAATATCTCGCCTTTGACATAGGTGACGTAAGTTGGCAAAATCCAAACGAGCTATCTGAATCCATGCAGAGATTTCGTCAAACATTAACCCATTACGGCTGATCAGACTTCCAAGATAAGTGAAGTTGTCGATGCGTTCGACTACTTCGCTCCCTGTCATTAGTTCAGGTGTTGACGCAGGCCAGTCCTAAAGCAACAACTTGCATTTAGGGGGAAACATATCCCAAACATCCTGGCACTATTGCTGAGTGCTACCAAAAGACTTTGCATTTTATCAGCGTCTTCACCAAACAGGACTGTCATCTGTGTATTCTAAGTCAATAAAAAGGAACTCCTGATAGAAGACCTATTCCCGATATTGCAGTCGATGGGAACATTATTTCCAGTAATAGGTCTATGATGGAATTGAACAAAAATGAAGATAGTGGATAACTTTGCCGGACACCACTTAAGGTTGTAAAGTCAGATGACAGTTCACCAGAAGCTCTGAATCGACTGGTAGTGTTCGAGTAAAGAGCCTTCACAAGATTTATGTACTTTGAAGGTACGCCTTTCAATGACAGACACTGCCACAGAACTTTTTGGTCTACAGAGTCAAATGCTGCATCTAAGTCAAGCAAAACCATCATTGTCGGACGCCGATAAACATGCCTATGTTCTAAAATCTGACGAATGGTGAATATGTAATCGGTGCAGACACGACCATGTTTGAAGCTAGCTCGGTTTTCTAGTGTTTGTAGTTCACGAGTATTTGTTAGGTGTCCGATAATTACTGAGGCTAGTGTTTTAGACGCTATTAGTTAAACAAATCCCTCTATGGTCATCACAGGATGTCACTGATCCTTTCTTATATATTGGGACGATCAGTGATTGAGACCAGTCAGATGGGACTATATCCAGTTTCCGAATTTTAGCTAAAATATTAGTCAACCTAATCGCTGAAAACTGGACCTCCATCCTTAAAGACTTCTGAAATTAATCCATCTGGATTAGCCGCTTTTTCTCGTTCCAGATTAGCTTAAGCCTTTTGAACTCCAATTAGAATTGGAGGACCTATTTCAGTGTTCCATTTAGGATGTTGGAAACGGTGGATAGCTGTAGATTAGCTGACTATCGATCGAGATCGAATTCACTCACTAAACAAACCGAAAATCCCTTTATTAAATCATAAAGGTCTCATTCATAACATTTATAAACTGATAAAAATATTGATATTATCAGAAATATACTGTATTGATTCGGGAATGGCCAGTCTGCTTAGCGCTTACAGCACTCAACTTTTAACGACTGGTAGGTCGAATATTTAAACTTTATCTATTTTCAGTTTGAAAAGAGCACGAATTAATAGCTCTCACATGAAAAGAATGGCTTTAAGTCGAATACATAAACCCATATATGGTAAATGAGTTATATAATCATCCAATCAGTTCAAATAGCATCTGCAGAAAAGTTCGACATTTGTTCGAGAATATTATCTAAGATAGCAGATAGAAAGTTTAGTTAAAGTAAATGAATAGATTGCACAGTAAAACATTCTACAATGGCATAATCGTGACATTTCGATTACATGGTAAATTTTAACTGGTAAATTCTTTATTATCAGGTTAGATATTACTTGCGACTTTAGAGTAGCGATATTTTTTACCTGGGACTTCATTTAGTTGAAACAACACTTATCAAGAGACGTTATGAAGCGACATTAAATTTAACAGGAATATTATTGTACGACCATGGTATTTTTATCACATTACATTAATCACTTATTTTATTATTATTTATTTGAACACATAAATATTAGTACAAAGGTGCACCGATTACATATGCGCCACACAAGTCACTTGATTTGTGTGTGGGCTGTGATACTGCCCGGACCGAAGCAGGTAGTCTTATTAGAGGGCCATACTCAAAGCCTTTAACCTTAATGTCTGATCCACAAGGCAGTGGAGCGACGTCAGGAGATGCAGTCCCATGGTATCCGGTGACCAACAATTGGTTCATGCGCCATTTGTTCACTCAGAATTCTGAGCCCATGTGCACCATTGCTTCGAAATCAAGGTTTCCCAACTCCCCTAGGTGGATTCTCCGTATTTACCAACCTGATTAAAGTGCCATATATTCGTTTTTCGTCTTCTCAATTTCTTAAACAACACCCTCGCCGCGAGAAGGCAGTGAGTAGGGCTTCCCTGGCGGTGGCTGTGTACGCGTAACCATGTGAGAGTATTTCGATAAAGAGAGTTGACTTTCCCCACCCTCGGCCGTACCAGGGCATTTGGGTGCAACCACTTATTTTGAAGGAAACAAAATGCAGAATAAACGCTAATATTGCAAATCAATGTAAGTAATGATACATTTTGATGAATTTGACACTTACCCGAATCAAAATCAAAACAAAAATCTGAAATTTGATGATAAATAGGCCGAACTAGTTCAATTCGACTAGGCAAGCTTGTGGGAATTTCAGGAGTGTTTTGAAGATTAGAATCCTCAGATTTGGTTGGTGATAATTCTTCCGTTGCATGGTGCTCACAAGATGGAATAAATTTGTCGCTCTCTTTCATGGTTCACTATGAGCTAAAATCTATTTTAAAAGAGACTGATGTATTTTGTTTGTTGTGTTTTAAAATACAGAACTAAAAGTTTACGGATTAAGTGATAAATTATGGCAATCTATCTTTGCTTAGTACCCTGTGGATAACCTCAGCACTGCTTACTTGACCATTTTATGATACACGTGCAATACTTTGAAAACACTTGAGATCAAACATCCGGAACAAACACATGTGTTCTACTTTCAGAGACCAGATTTCATAGCCACAGAGTAGTACATAGTTCCACTCACCCTTTTATGGTCAGATGGATATCACGCCTACTCCATGAGTAATGCAAGTTGCCAAAAACAGTCATCTTTTTGAACCCGTATTAAGACTGTAAAACATCAACCCACCAGGGCTGGTGAGTCTTCTAAGACAAGTGAAATTTTAAAATCATTAGGAAACTGGGAAGTTATTTCATCCTGATTCAAGACCGTTTGATAGTAGTCAATCACGAACATGACGTGAACACGTTATTTATCTACTAACTTGGAACTTATTAGCCTATGTTGTTTAACCATAGTAATCCGACGACATAGTACGATCGATACTATTGAAGGACGCTTATTCGATTCTATTGATTTCACAAGTTACGAAATATAAAAGCTGAAGAAGGTTCCCAAGTGGGTCACTGAAGGCTACAAGACAATTTACCGCTTGTAGAAATTCTCGCTGATTCGAAGATAATTTCCACCCTGAACTGATGTCAGACTGAGAACCAAGGACCAATTATCTGAACAGTATTTCACTAGAGTGGAATCTTTGGAGTTTTAGTTAGGTTTTCGTCCTATCAACTTTGTAAACATCCCCACCGCGAGAACGCAGTGAGTACGACTTCCCTGGAGGTGGCTGTATACACGTGGCCATGTGCGAGCATTTCGAGAAGAGCAAACCCTCCCCACCCTCAGTCGTACCAGGGCATTCGGGGGCAGATCCTCCGAAGACATATAAATGAATATACATATCATTTTTTTAATGTAGAATAACACAAACATGATTTGTTCATGGAAAGAGGTAACATCATTTGCTAAAACAAACAACTAATTTTGTTGTTCTAAACAGGCGGAATTGAGGTCAGATGTGGATATACTAATTAATGGTAATCGTGTATTATCAATATTTCTGTGTATTGGATACGAGGAAAAACAGATAACGTTACACTAACTAGGCTGTGGATCACATTATATAAGAGGTAACTGGTTCCTGGTCTAAGTAAACAGGCTCTCTATTACTAATTAATAAAAGCATTTTTGGGATGAAATAAAGAGACTGGAAAGAAGAGAAATAAAATGTGAATATATTTGAACTATGAAGCTCGAGCTAACTTAAAATGTCCTCTGATTACGTTATATTATCTTATAGAACACATTGAGAAGTTTTAATAGGTATGTTACATAACATTAGTTTGGTAAAGATACAATGTAGCATGTTAAGTTAGTACAGTCTCTGTAAGTTGACAGTAGAAGATACTCCCACTGTTATGATTGCCAAAAAGATGTAACCGAAAACTTCCGTTAGTAATTAAACTGCGATATATGAAATTATAAATAAATATACAAAAACACAAATCACAATAATTTGTTGGATGACAACAATATAACAGATTATCGGTTAGTGAGTCCTCATAACTTGGAACGAATATGTATTGCTCAGATATTTGAAATTTGTCTAGTCGGATAATTTGGTGCCTTTCACTAAAAACTCAACTTTTGAAGTTAAGCACAACGATCCACACAGTGTGGATTCCTGGTCTTAAGAATTTTCACTTTAAACATCTAAAAAACCAGAATCAACAAAAGCTCATTCAGATCAGAAACCCTGTGATGACTTTGTAGGTTACAAAATTTATTTATAACGACTATAGCGACAAAATTGACATCGATCACTGAGTGACATTAGTATAGCGACGAAGTCAATTTTAGCTCACATTATCCTCAAAGTAAGGGGGAGTATAAACTACGTATATTTGGATTGTCAGATAACAGGTTTGTATACAAAATATCACTGTTTGCTTTCGTTTTTTATCCGGCTTCCCAAGTATTAAGTGATGCCCTGATAGGTTATTCATCCCGTTGTTTCATTGTTCATACCAACTCTTTCTACATGAAACTCAGAAATAAATCCCGGGAACAACATTTTACGAAACCGATTAAGTGGTGTAATATTTATTTTTCGACTTTTGTTGTCAAAGCTATCTAAAAAGGACAGTGGTATTGTTTCTCGTTGAATTAGTAAATTGTTTTGATCGTAAATTACGTATCAAAACTACGATTTACACTTTAATTGAATCTAATAAAGTTAAAGTGATATTCTGTTGAGTTTTTTTTGGCTTTTGTGTATTTATTACGTTCGAAGCATTCTTGGTCTGTGTCAAAGTACTTTCGTTAAGGTTTGAAACCTTGCTAAAGTTTTTCTTGTGGTAACCTTTTATTCGTTGACTGACATTTGTGTTCATACTGTGATCATATTGTGTGTTACACCTTGATCAGACTTAAATGGTTGGTAGTACTCACAAATGTGGACAACCAAACTGTTTGTTCCCTGTGGAGGAGCGAATGCAGTGTGCCGAATGCCATAAGTGGTTCCACAAAATGTGCACCCGCTTAAGTCCCACCGCATACAAAAGATGTTCGAAGCCTAACTCACATTGGCTTTGCATGTTTCGCTGTGCCAACAAGGCATTACTAATACAGGAGGCTATGAGCCTATTGGCTTTGGCCTGTAAAAAGAAGGATGGCATATGCGCTGACAACACGGGCACTGACAGTGACGAATGTGTCAGTGTAGTACCTGCTGTTACGCGACGCCTCAAACAACCGACTCTGACCGACGTAAAAGTGAAATCTTCGTTGGCATTAACAGGGGGAGTAGTACCACCTGATACTGACATTGTTAATAATGCACCTTTAATGGGAACCGAAGATCTGGATAAAACAGTCACCGTTCCAAATAGTCCCAGTGTTATGAGGGATGAAAAATGGAATACGGTACGTAGGAAACGAACCGAAAAAAGCTGTAAGCAGTACACAGGTAGTTAGTAACTCACTGGTGGACTCAAATTGTGAGCCACAAATTGCACTACCAAGATCTGATGGTAAGAGTGAAACCCATCCTGGCGTGACTGAGAAGAAAAATCTAATAACATCGAATATTATTGTGAGCAAATTGCGGGAGTCAAACGACCCTGATCCGAAAATTAGACACGCGCATGACTTAGAAAAGCTAGGAGAATACATTCGTAGTATTTTACCAGATAACTCCAAAGGAGTTCAGGTCAAAAAATTGGTAAGAATAGGCAAGAGGACCGAGGACAATGTTGAACCCCGTCCATGCAGACTCCTTAAGGTAATCCTAGGATCGGAGAAGCAACGGGATCTCTTGTTAAGTAGCGCTCGTTGTCACGACAATTCTGACATCCGAGTTAGACCTGACATGTCTCTCGAAGATAGAATAAAAAGGAAGAAAGCACTAGCTGAACTTGAAACCCGTCGGCAAAACGGCGAGGAAAATCTCCGACTAGTGGGTTTTCGGATAGTCAGGTCTTGGAAGCGAATGCTATCAAGGCCTGTGTGGATAGGCTGTTCTACTTAGGAGTTTTATATGCCAACGCTCGTAGTTTACGAAATAAGTTCTATGAACTAGAAGCACTAGTAGACAGGTTAAAGCCACTCATAGTAGCAGTGACAGAAACTTGGTTAGTCCATGACTTAGACATTACTCCAGAATTATCCGGATACCATTGCATCAGGAGTGATAGACATAGATGTAGAAAAGGAGGCGGCGTCCTGTTATATATAGCCAATGGCATAAATATCCGCTCCTCTACTAGCGAATCTCATGATAGCGGCACTTGTGAAGTCATTAGCTGTAAGTTGGCTATAGGATGTAGAACATTTATGCTAGGTGTCATCTATCGGAGCCCAATCTGCTTAGCTGATGACTTTGTTTTAGAGCACATTCATCTTTGGAGTGATAATACCAGGTGCATGGTAATAGGAGACTTTAACGCACCTGATATTAGTTGGACTGATATGACCACAGAAGGATCTATAAACTCCTTTGATAGTAGGTTACTGATAACAATAATGGAGCATGCACTAGTGCAGCATGTATCCCAACCCACACGTTTTGGTGTTAACCAGGGTTCTTCTCTGCTGGATTCGGTAATCACTCATGAGACTGAGGATATTGTCGACTTAAATATTCTTCCACCGTTAGTAAACAGCGATCACGCTGTTTTGTCATTCGCGTTTAGAACTAGGGACATGTTATACGATCAGGTTACACCGCGCCCAAATGTATGGAAAGCTAACATATCAGCCATTCAGGAATGCGCTGCTAAGACAGATTGGTTAGTAGATACTAGCATATCAGTTGAAGAAGCATGGTCTGTATTTAAAGGTAAATTTAGACTAGTTACGTCCCCGTTCATACCATACCTGGTACCGCGAAGACCGAATAATAGTCCACCATGGATAACTAAAACGGTCAGGAAACTCCTTAGAAAAAGGAAGAATCACTGGAATATGTTCATCTCTACTGGCTTAGAACAATACAGATCCAGTTATTGTAAGATTAGGAATGCCTGTAAAGCGTTAATAAGCAAGACTAGACATTCATACGAAAAAAAATTGGTTAGGGATTCTAGATATAGTCCGAAACGGTTATTCTCGTATATAAAAAGGCGAACTAAGAGAAGCGATGGAATTCCATCACTTTTGATACGAGACAATCCGTTAATCTTAGCAGAGAATGATACCGAAAAAGCTGAAGCTTTATCGGAATATTTTAGTAAAGTGTTTTCTATCGGTAATGAGGAATGACCAATGATTCATCGTGACCGTGACGGCTCGCTGATGGATCCTGTAGTCATTGAGAAAGATACTGTTTTAAGGCTACTTCAGCATCTCAAACCTGATAAGTCCAGTGGTCCCGATTAAATTCATCCTAGGATTATGAAAGCCATATCAGATGAAATTGCTGAACCATTAGCGATACTATTCGACATGTCTCTGAGACAGTCCAGACTTCCTAGAGACTGGAAAGACGCCATAATAAGTCCGGTGTATAAGGCTGGGAGTAGGGATTTAGTTAGTAACTATAGAGCCGTTAGCTTAACTAGTGCAGTTGTGAAACTGATGGAGAAAATCATTCGGATAGCTGTTATAAACTATGTTGAAGGGCAAAATCTTGGTTTTCGGAAAGGCCTATCTTGCTTGACAAATCTTCTCATTGCACGAAAAGAGTGGGCTGCGGCAAAGGATCGGAATGCTCCTGTGGATGTAATTTTCATAGATCTAAGTAAAGCCTTTGATAAGGTTTCCCACTCTGGTCTTAAATTCAAAATGAAACGTTCTGGAATCCATTACACAGTCGTCGATTGGATAAGTAACTTTCTTCATGACAGGAGACAAAGGGTAAGGGTTAATGGGGCTCTCTCCTCGTGGGTACCTGTAAAAAGTGTGGTTCCCCAAGGCACAATCCTAGGTCCTCTTCTCTTTTTACTTTATGTAAATGAATTGCCAACTGTAGCAAAATCATCCGTTCTACTCTTCGCTGATGACATAAAGATTCGGAGACCCATACATAGTATGTCGGATAGAATAGTATTACAGGACGATCTTAGCTCATTGGTGGCATGGTTAGACAGGTGGTCACTAGAAGTAAATCCTAATAAGAGTGTAGTGATGCAGTTAAATAACTCTGATGAATCGTATGACTATACACTACGTGGATTCGTGCTACCCAAAGCAAGAAACTATAAAGACTTAGGAGTTATATTAAGCAATGATCTCAAAACGACTAGTCACTGTAAGGCTGCTGCTGCAAAAGGCTATAGGATATTATGGTCAATTCGTAGGTCTTTTCAGTATTTAGATGATGAAATGTTTGGATTACTATACCCGATTTACGTGCGACCACATTTAGAATACGGGATTCAAGCAGCGAGTCCTTGTTTCAAATATGAAGCAGATATGCTAGAAAGAGTCCAACGACGAGCTACTAAGATGGTAAAAGGTCTAGCTGGCCTATCTTATGAAGACAGACTGAGACACCTTAACTTATTTCCGTTATCTTACCGTAGAGTACGGGGTGATCTAATATTGGCTTATCGTATACTGAACGATGACCTTGGTATTAACATGTCTTATCTTTTGCTTCCGTCTAGAACCGATCATTTAAGAGGAGATTCGAAGAAAGTTCAAAAACCGAGATCAAACCGTTTACGTCTGGAGTTCCGTTTCTCGCACCGAGTAGTGAATTACTGGAATTCTCTACCGGAACACGTAATATCAGCACCGTCTGTTAATATATTCAAAACGAGATTGGACCTCCACAGTATTACAAACTGCAAGGATTAATATAGGTCGACAGACCTCCTATCCTTATTACTGAAGACTGAAGGCTATACTAATGAATCTCCTTGAATCTATTTTATCTTAGTAACTTTCAGTGCATCATGATGATAGTCTCATGATACTATTGATTAGTGCTCTTTTTTCCTCATGGTTCTTTCGAAATATTATGAGCAATTCCAATAGAAGCTAAACATTTATCCTGCATTCATTTCTAACTCAAACCTATTATAAGAAAATGAGAATAACGAGAAATGTTGTCTATAATTTTAGTGAAATCAAATATGTTATCATTATTACTACGTTAGTCCTCTGCTTACAGCAGCACAGAATTATGCCGCTAGATACTGAAAATATTCCAGAAAAAGGTAACATCCATGAACTTTATCGGTCCTTTTAAATGAATAATGTATGATCTGCACATTGGTTTACGAATCGCTTGTTTATTTGTCCGCTGACATAGATTCTATTAGGTCAAGTGGTGTTCTATTAAGCTAAGATGTGCATTATAAAAACAATTTCTTGTGGTAACTACTTGACCAGTTCTTGAATAATCGGAAGTTTTACGAAAGAATAGAATCCTAGTTCCACACTTAGGGCGACAGCGAACTGGATAGCCTATGACAATCCTTGTGATAGAAGTCCCTCAGTTGGTTCAACCTTATTTTGAGTGCATAAAGTTTAAACCATGTGCTGAGGTTTCACTCGGCGAATCGATGGAAGGCCGGCAATCAGCTGACAAATTCGCTCTAGGCATAAATTGGGGATGATAACATGCAAACTATCGGGATAACGAGCAAAGCGGAAGATTTAATTTCGAGAAACGCAAACGTCAACTAGGAATCTAAGGAAGTTCTCAATCAATTCCGTACAAACTTCACCAAAACTATACCAAACCAGCGGCCTTGAACGAACAATCAAAACTACACCTGCCAATGAACGAATTTAAAACGCTGTAACAGATAGTATGTTGCTAAAAGTCATGTTATTCATTATAATTCGTATTTAAAAAGCTTTGAATGATGATTTTATTTTGTATCTATCTGTTAAAGTAGGCATGTTGCTATTAGAAGTATAACAACTGTATCTGCGCGCTATTTAAAACGGGCAGCTGTATTTCCCCTCTCTGAATTAATTTTACTGTTTCGACCGTAAATTACTCATCAAAACTACTGTTTTCACTTAGGATGAATTTATCTCAGGTAAAGTATTCTCCAAGAGTATCGTTTTGTTCGACGGTACTTAATCTTCTGTACTTTCAAGCACATTGGTTCGTTTTCATATTTGTTTGCACATTTGATCCGGATAGTTTTCGCTTTTTCTGGTCATTACGCGCTTCTCCTCTCTTTATATTGTTCGTGCATAGTTTCTTTCGGAAGCTTCCGATCGATGGCCGCATATTTCAGAAAAGGCAATCGCTATCTCCCGGGATGTCGCTACACCATAGAATGTGGCTTGCAGTGCGATTAGTGCAAACGGTGGTACCACGAAGTCTGAGTGAATCTAACGCTCGCTCCTTTTAAACGGATCAGTAAAAATGTCTGCGTGTGATTGTGTCAACAATGCTGCTCATACACAAACTGATTGCTATCCGAAGTCATTGCCATGGTGAATGCTTCTAAGAGGAGTACTACTATTTATTATTATTATTCACAAACATCTTATGGGTACATAAGTGTTGCGAAGAAACCATTTCGGGTTTCTTCAAAAAATGCAATAATACACAATTTTCAATAATGTCAGCATTATACTTGCCATTTAAAAAAAAATTAGAGCAATAATAGTAGAATATTAATAATAATAAATCAGGTCTGTGCAATTGAGAAGAATATTGAATTGAGTTTGAAGAAGGAAATGGAGAAAATAAGGGAACAGAAATAAAGGAGACGTGAAATACGCAAACAGTCTAATAGGCGTGTTTATGAACACAGAACAAGAATAAACGACTATGTGTGTATCGTCAAATTAGTAACAAAAATAATTAAGAAAAAATAACTTATAATTGCAGTAAGATATGACGCTAGAATAAATGTTTGTGCAGTTATAGTTTAGAGTGATGCTATGAAAGTTACAATTAAATGAAAAGGATAATAAAATATCAATATGTATCAGTAGTCATATATGCATAGTGAAGATAAAACGGGTCTGAGAGTTTAACTTAAGTGTAACACAAGTTATTGTTTTAATTACAAACTTCGTAATCTTAAGAATAATATTTATTTAGAGGGAAAGAGGAGAGAAAAGAAGTGAACACTTAGTGAGAAGTTTTGATTCGTGATAAGAATAATAATTGTGTAATGAATATCAACCTCACAAGGAAACCAGCAATTGAAAAAATAAAATAAAAATCCGTTAAAGCACTCGGATGAATACATTTAGATTTATGTAATAGTATACAGAGTGAAACCGGATATTAGTATAAATATTTGTGCAATAATAATTAAGATTGATGCTATGAAAGTCAAAACTGATTTTTAAGGACAATCTGGAGTTAAATATGCTTAGAAGGATAAGAAGATACGAAAAGAATATCTAATGTGTCGGGGAACTAATAATTATATTAATAACGGTAATAATGATAAACATGAACATAAACAGACTTCATATATTAAGATAAAGAGAAATGAAACAAGATAGATGTGAAAAGATTTAAATTCGTAGTCGAAACACATCGGACGGTACTCACTCGGTTGATACACAAATTTGTGTGAGGATACCACACATGAGCTCGGAATCGATTGACTTACATCGGCCAAGGGAAAAAGGACCGATCTTAAAGAGGTTTTCAGGAATAAAACCTAAAGAAAAGAAGTTTATTCTGTCCGCCGTCCCCAAAATGACAGCTAACACGCTTAGAGGACCAAATCGCAAATCTAGGTCCTTTTATAGCTATAAAAGTAAAACCTGACAACCCAAGTCATCGACAATTATCCAGGATTACACAGTGTGTGTGTGACACGACTGTGGTTGATACTCCAGCGAAAGTTGACAACTGGGTCCAGATGTAGAGTAAGAAACGACATAATATTATAAAAGAAAAGACAATCCACAAAAAGTAGACGTAAAATCGAAAACTGTTCATAATGGCAGGTCGGTTGTCTTTCATTGAGTCAAGGATATTGAAAGATCACGACAAAGAGCTCCTTTTTGAGCATGACGTTGAGAGGACAATACAGTAACCAAATCAGCTAATGCGTCAGGATATCCCCGGAGTCAATCGTAAAGGGTCTATAGACTGGGTAGCCAAATGAAGTTGAAATAGAACAAAAACAGGCTTGCAAAATTAGTATTCAAAAAGCCCACTGAAAAGGGACAGAATACTACAGAATGGTTATAAACTGAAGGAATCAGGAGGTATGTCAATTACGAGTTGACGCTCGCAGAACGTGCGAAAAGACGATAAACTGAAAAAAAGAGAAACTTAGGTTTGATGCTGAAGAAAAGGACCTACAAAATGTAAATTTTCGGGTTATGAGGCCTCAACAGAAAATGATGCCGAAGTTAAGATATTTGCGCTGGAGGCAATCTATTAACGTGGATTAAAGACTTCGTGGTTGGACGCCAACAAATAGTACGGGTGAACTCCAAGTTGTCCAGCTGGGAAAATGTGCTTACAGGAGTGCCTCAGGGTACAGTTTTGGGACCAATGTTATTCCCTTTGTATGTAAACAACCTTCCTAGTCTCCTATCATCATTTGTCTTGCTATATCCTGACGATGTCAAGATATGGAGAGCGGTAAAAAGTAAAGGTTATAGCTTAGAGTTTCAAAATGACCTGGAGAGATTATCTGGCTGGTCTGAAATCTGGAAATTGCCGATAAATGCTTCAAAGTGCATTGTGATGCATATCGGTCACCAAGATACAAATACACACATGGTGAATAACATTGAGCTACCGATCGTCCAGAGGCACAATGACTTAGGAGTCATTGTTGGGCAAGATTTAAAAACTACTACGTACTGCCATGCCATAAACGCCAAATGTCTTAGAACCCTATGGTCCATACGTGAAGCCTTTAATCATGTCGACGCTTGAACGTTTTTGACTTTGTATGCAGATTCGTGCGTGTATAATATACCTGATAGTACGAACATAAAGATTGTTAAAAATACTCTACTACAAGAATGTGGATTGTCGCAATCTTGGTGTGTAACAAGAAGATTACGTAAAGCACACACTAAAGCCTCCTGTCCCATTCTATTTCGGTTTGGTAGTACCACTGAGGCTAATCACCTCCTCAATAGTCAGTCATTACTGAGGCGTATTCCAACATTTAAAAAGATTAGGATCATTCATGACAGGACCGCTATCCAGCGTCGAATCTGCAATGGAACACAAACTGATCAACCCAGCTTACGTAGCCGCGGCAGCTACAGCTCTTGTCAATGCACAAATCCTAAAATATCATACACTGCCCCCCCCCAAAAAAACGGAGGCACGTCGGACACTGCTACTAGTCCTAAGGACAAGACCGCACATAAAGCAGCTACAACCACTCACCCTCAGCCCAAACACTCAGCTACCCCAAAATGTCAAACCACTTATGCCTCAATAGCGTCCAAGTATTACCCTACCGGCCCCCATAAAATGCCTAAAAATGATCCTCCCAGGAATTGCGCTAACAGCTACAGACTCTCAGACACCGCTGTACAAAATAATACCAAACTCTCCGTAAAAACCCACCAATACTCCAGCACCCCTAACCCGAAACATGCACCTTCTCATAGCAATAGAATGCCCTACAACAAACATAGTGAACTGGCGAAACACACTCATCCTAATGTGAAACGACACTCGACAAGAACCACACCTACACGTGATACCCATAAGTCATATAGTGTGAACCTTGTAAGCTCCATGAACCAGCACACAACTATACACAACAAAAACCTCTCTCTTGGCAATAATAACAGGCATCCCTTCATTCCTTACCAGAATCATACAACCTCTCCAACTACCCATAATAGAACTAAAATTGCCCACCGCACACAAGGAAGCCATAACGTTGGCCTACTTGGGAACCCACCTACTGATTCTAGGTGCTATCTAGGTCAAGCCACGTCCTCAGCAAACTTCCAGAATCGATATGGCTTACTGTGCACACCCATGAGTGTAAAATACTAATCGGATGCATATATCGAGCTCCTAACACTCCTAGTTCAACTGACACTATTATACGTGAGTCATTTGCTCAGGCTGCCTCGCTTGACTTCACTTACAAAATTGTATGTGGTGATTTCAACCTTCCCACCATCAACTGGAAAACACATTCTGGCCCATTGTGCTCTGAAAGCATACTTAGGTCCTTAGACATACACGGTTGGCAACAACATGTACATATGCCTACACGAAATCACAACATTCTTGACTTGATATTCTGTCATAATGTCACACCAACATCAATAGTGATTGGCGAAAAGTTTCACAACAGCGATCATAAAATAGTCCTCTGCACCCTTCCGATTGTTGCCATATGCAACAAATTAAAGACATTAAATACGCGATTCCAATGTAGAGACTATGCAAACGCTGACTGGGAAAACTTTCGGTTTCTAATAAAGCACTCTGACTGGGGCGGTTTCTTTACCAGTAATAACCTCTTAGAAACATTAGAAATATTCAATATCACCACCAAATCTGCACTAGACACTACTATACCCTCTAAAATTGGTTTTAAAACAGTTACTCCCTATATAAACCAAAAGACTAGGTCTAAACTGCGAAAACTGAAAAGGACGTACCATATATCAAAAGAATTCAGTGCCCTGCACCAGATATACTCCGTACTTGACGGAGTACAAAGTCAACACAACAAGCATAAACAGGTAGAGGAACGTACTGCGCTCGCTGCTGCATCTAAAGCCCAAGCCCTATATCGTCTCCTCACGAAACGCATAAGAAAGAACACAGACCACAACATTCACTCCTTACTGCACGATG